CTTCAGCAGCACTATTGACCTGCGTTTAGATGATGTTCCATCAAAGCACCCACACTTTCTAGCGCAATCCCCTCCTCACTTTCCTTATCGCAAAAAGCCCAAAAATCTCCAGTCAGCAGTCATTGTGCAACCTGGGCTTGCCAAAACATGATTCAGTCCTACCTGAAAATAGTGACAATCCAGAAATCTCCTAGGTTTGGCCAGTACCCGGATGAGAAGCCACCCAGAATCTCCTTGTGTGCCTCCTTGAATTTCATGATGGAAGAAGGGTCGGGATACTGAATAAACAAAGGGCACACAAAGAGTTCTCTTGCATACACAGTATGCTGTCAAAGCACGTTTCTCCCCTCAAAGAATCACTGGGAACTGTAGTTTAAGGGTGCAGCTCTGTGTGAGGTAAACTACAGTTCCCATCGTTCTTTGAGGTATGCGCTTTGAAGGTATAATGTGGATGCAGCCACTGCTACAGAGTCAATCTTCTTCCATTGGAAAACTGCATGCTACATTTGGGATTGCAATTGCTTGAGTATTGCAGTGTGTGTATTTTTGTGTGTTTGTATGTGTGTGTGTAAGGTTTTCCTCTCTGTTCCATCAACGCTACTGGATGCAACAGTTGCATATGAGACAATGTAGCTGAGCCACTGATACTGCTTAATACTTTCTTTATCAATGCAGCTGTTTTCATACAAGATAAATTTCCTGCACTGACATCAATTTGGGGGGGGGCTGCATATCTCCAGGATAAGGTTGTCACATAGTGTCACTGGTGAAATGGATCTACATGTGTATCCATCACACATAACACATAATAATAATCATAATAATAATAATAATAAATTTTATTTATACCCCGCCCTCCCCGGCCAGAGCCGGGCTCAGGGCGGCTAACACCAGTAAAATTACAGTAAAAACATAATAGGAAAAGAAACCCAATTTAAAATACAGGTTAAAATGCAATTTAAAATGCAGCCTCATTTTAAAAGTAGCCCATAGATCAAAACCATAAGGGGAGGGAAACATAAGGGTCACACTGAGTCCAAACCAAAGGCCAGGCGGAACAGCTCTGTCTTGCAGGCCCTGTGGAAAGATGTCAAGTCCCACAGGGCCGTAGTGTCTTGTGACAGGGCATTCCACCAAGTCGGGGACAGTACTGAAAAGGCCCTGGCCCTAGTTGAGACCAATCTAACCACCTTGTGAACTGGGACCTCCAAAATGTTGTCATTTGTGGACCTTAAGGTCCTTCGTGGGGCATACCAGGAGAGGCGGTCCCGTAGGTACGTGGGTCCTAAGCCACATAGGACTTTAAAGGTTAAAACCAGCACCTTAAACCTGACCCTGTACTCCACTGGGAGCCAGTGCAGTGCAGCGAGAGTCATGCAGTTTTCTATGCAATGTATTTTTGGGACTGCAGGTCCGGAATAAAATATTCTCATAGGCACATCTATGGAATATTAACTACCGTGAAAATCTGGCCTTGATGGAACATTAATACTGGTTTTGTCCTGGAGCAATTATGTTTTTGCTATGCTTGGGCTTGTGGCTAATGTGGCAAATGTTCCTGGGGGTCAACAGTTAGGATGCACACAAACGCTGCCAATGGCATCTCTGGTGAATGTTTCTGAGGCGACTTACAATGTCAGTAGCTGTGTGGAATTTCTTTTCGAAATTCTTTTTATCGATCTGGAGAAAAGGCAGGTCCTTTATCAACCCTGTGAAAAGAACTTCCCAAATATCTAGATATTGAATTAAAGAGAACATTAAAGAGAGCATGACCTGAGCTTTCTAATGTAGGTTGTTCTGATTTCATACAAGGAGGAACAATTTCCCTCACTACATTTACTTTTCCCCTCACTACATGTACTCTTTGAATTCACAACTCTCCAGCTATCCCTTCCCCACTGCCACAATTGCTACCCTACATGAGAGTTTGCCAACATGATGCCACAGGAGCAACTATGCCCACCAGTACTTCCAGTGACAGCTGTGGAACTTCCCCTACAAAATCCACAATGCTTCCTAGTCACTTCCTATATGCACAGGATTGGGACATGGGTGGTGCTGTGGTCTAAACCACTGAGCCTCTTGGGTTTGCCAATCAGAAGGTTGGCAATTTGAATCCCAGCTCCTGCCAACCTAGCAGTTCGAAAGCATGCCAGTGCAAGTAAATAAAGAGGTACCGCTGTGGCAAGAAGGTAAACGGCATTTCCATGCACTCTGGTTTCCATCACAGTGTTCAGTTGCACCAGAAGCAGTTTAGTCGTGCTGGCCACATTACGCAGAAAGCTGTCTGTGGGCAAACACCAGCTCCCTCAGCCTGAAAGTGAGATGAGCGCTGCAACCCCATAGTTGCCTTTGACTGGACTTAATTGTCCAGGGATCCTGTGTGTGTGTGTGTGTGTGTGTGTGTGTGTGTGTGTGTGTGTATGCCTCAGAGAGGTGGGGGAACAGCCAAGGATTGAATGATTGCTATGAAAGAATGAAGTGAAACATTCTCCCAGTTCAAATAAATCTATCATCGTTATCGTTATAATTATCATTATTTTATTTATACCCTGCCCATCTGACTGGTTAGCCCTTGCCACTCTGGGTGGCTTCCAACAAATATAGAAGCATACTAAAACATCAAACATTAAAAACTTCTGTATACAGGGCTGCCTTCTTGATATTATCAAGAGGAAAACTTTAGTGCATTTTTTAAAAAGTCAAATGCTGGCTACTAAAAATCAGATGTTTTATTAAACAATTGCTTAAATGGTAGTAAAACACAAAATATGGAAGCGGAAAGTGTTTGCAGAATTGCAATAAAAATTCAAAACTGCCTGCCTCTTGGATTTCTGAAATACCTAGTTTTCCATGGTGTTTCTTTATGTCCCCATCTAGCCCGGTTAGTTGAATAACGCAATGCAAAAAAGCACTCCTGTTTATCTATTTAAAGGGAGAGGCATTATATCCCCCCAGGCCATTCACATAAGCAGCGTTGTGCTGTGCCATGCATAAGCTAGGTAAGCTTGCTTCCTAATGAGCTGAATTAATCATTGGGATGTGTCTCGCAAGTTGAAGTAGAATATTCACAGCAGCCACAACAAGAACCGCAGGATCTTGCCAAGTTTCCCGAGTCACTAAGGCTGCAATCCTAACTGCACCAACCTGGGTGTGAGACCTATTGAATTCAGCAGGACTTACTTCCAAGTAGACCTGGTTACAATTGCGCTGCTAAAGCTTTGACAGGGCAAGTCAAGTTGAGCAAAGCTCCCCTTCCCGTCTTCAAGCACAGTTTCTGAATACGAAAGGGCAAACCTAAATTTATGCAGGTCACCTATTCCAACATTCAGTTGCACTTAACCGTAGCTCAGAAGAACCAGATGCTGACAAGCAGCTGTTGTGCACCTTACCTAAGGAAGACAGTGTGCTGAAAAAGCAATAAAGTTTTCATTGATGAAAAAATGCAAGTAGACAGGTGCAGCAAACATTTCCGAACATATAACTGTCCTCAGCTCACTTGTATGTTCTTACAGAGAAAGTTGTTCTTCCAGAATAGGAAATCTGCATTCTTAAAGGGAGGGAGAGAGACTGCTTAAATAAACTTCACTAGAACTCGTAGTCAAAAAACATTCCAGCCACTTTACCTATCAGCACACAGATCACCATTCCCCAACCTGGTGCCCTCCTGATTTTTGTTGGACTACAGCTCCCATCATCCCTCACCATTGGCTGATGGAAATTGGAGTCAATGACATCTAGAGGGCACTAGTTTGAAAAATCCCAGTGTATAGATGACCAGACTCCCATGCATTCAGCAACACGGGATGGCACACTTGAAGAGGTGTGCCCAACATGTCTGAAGCAATGAAAGAGTCAGGCTTTCTGCATGACTTTTTTCATGCTTGCCTCCTAGCATAAATGGACTAGAATCCTCTGGTAGGAAACTATTGGGTATGTTCTGTATGCAGTGGCGCAGCTAAGGCTGGACTGTGGAGATCTGTAATGGTAAAGCTTATAATTCACAGGTATTCCCTTAGTGCAGAGGTTTTCAACCTTTTTGAGTCCATGGCTTCCTTAACAAACTCCATTAGTTCTGCAGCACCACTTTGGGGCTCAGGAGCCCAGATGTGTCACCCCTTGCCTGCAGAACCGGTAGCCTCTCAGTCTTTTTCAAACACCCTCCCTTGTGGAGTGTTCCCTCAGCCTCCTCTCCTCTCCTATCTCCTTGGGAGTCCTCCGGGCAACTACCGCTGCCACCCCTGGTCTCTGATCTGCACCCCTGCCCCAAAGAGAGGTGTCTCCTCCCACTGCCCCACAAGGGCCTAAGGAAGCAGCCCTAGAGGCACTATTTGTCTGAGGAGCTTGCAGCCAGGGCTGCTGCAACAAACTGCTGTGCAAGCCTTTAGGAGGCAGAGACATGAGAGGGCATCAGAGGAGGGAGGGAAGGAAAGAGGGACAGAGGCCAATGTTGCCTGCGGCACCCCTGACCATCATTCAAAGCACCCCAGGGTGCCATGGCACACTGGTGGAAAACCACTGTCTTAGTACTAAGAAGTTGGTAAGTTGAGGACTTGCCCTACGTTCACATAACCCCAGGTATTTCAAAAAGGCCTATAGGTTGATCTTAGAACAATAAAGGTGTTTCAAATCATTCATCATTCCTCTAGCCCACAGGTGGGAAAACTGTGACCTCCCCAAATGCTAATGGTAATAGCATATAGCAAAGTGATGTTATATGGGTCACTTGGTTCTCATGCGTGGTCTCCATTAATAAATACAGGGTGTTATTAACATTTACGCAAACCGTCAACCTGATTGTCTGAGTTGACTATTTTGTGATGATGTTTTCCATTATTGTTGTTTAATTTTGAGTCCTGCATGCATCTATTTTATTCGGCAACTGCTGTAACTAATTTCAACTTGAGGGTAAATAAGGCATTAGTAAGAAATTTCTTTGTAAATGGAGTCCCCACTGTGCTTGTATGCAGAAATTATGATGCACTACTGTAGATATGGAATTATGAATCTGATGGAATATAGTTCTGTGTATTATTGTTGTCTCCAACTTTGAGCTTTCTTATAGTCTGGCCTGGATGCTTCCTTTCAAAGAGCTTGAATTTCAGAACCTTTCGATAGCATCAACAAACGTCAAATTAAAAAAAGAAACACTGTTTTCAGTTGCAGAGCAGCCAATCTCCCAGAATCCAGGGTATGAACTTATTTACTTCCCTCTTAAATGGCATTTAGCTTGCAGGCATGTTGTGCTGCTTCTTCAATGCCATTTGTGCAATTTCTAAAGTGCGATGAGAAGTGGCAGGTCTTAGGATGTTTGGAACTGATCATCAGTTAATTGAGATCCGAAGTGACATTTACTAAGGTCTAGTAGTGAAAACATTGGCTTACAAGCATACATACCAGCAAAGAAAAAGAAAAAAAAAGCTTAATTGTCTGTTGTACCAGTTCCTATGTTTGAATTCCAATCATGTTGTTCCCTAAGGGATCCCTGCCCCCTGGAATCATAAAGGTTAGAAACAAAATTTTAAAACAAACTGAACATGTCAAGATCCACAACAGAGCAGCCACAGAGTCTCAGTCCTGTTGATATCAACCCAGTCGTCTTTGTCTGCCTGGAAACCAAATCTTACAACTGGAAGAGGAGAGCAAAATCTACTCATAGTATGGAGGCCGAAAGATAAGACAAGAATGACTTAACCCCTGTAAAACTAGCAAAGATCTACCACAAGAGTGACAACTTATGTTGGAAATGTAAAGAAAAAGAAGGTACCTTTCACCATATGTGGTGGACGTGTCCCAAGGTGAAAGACTTCTGGGAAAAGATTTATAATGAATTGGAAAAAAATGTTGAAATATACATTTATTAAGAAACCAGAAGCCTTTCAACTTGGAATAACAAGTTTGGAATTGCCCAAGAAGATGTCAGATTGTTTTTGTATGCCACAACTGCAGCTAGAATTTTATTGGCCAAAAATTGGAAATTACAAGAAGTACCAACAGTGGAGGAATGGCAGATGAAGATGATGGACTTTTGGGAGCTAGCCGACCTGACCGGAAGAGTCCGCGACCAGAAGGAGGAAGAGTAAGAAGGAGGAAGAGTACCAAGAGGAATGGAAGAAATTCAAAGACTACTTAGCTAAATATGTTAAGATATCTCAAATAGAATTACTTGTGAGTATCAGATAGGCCTAGGATTTAAATATGTGATGTTGTAGAATACTATGTTAAAAGTTAAAATGAAAAGAAAGAAAGAAAGATGTTAATTGATTAAGTAAATCTTAGTGAAAATAGTTTTGGAAAACTGCTACAATGATTTATATGGAAACTCAGCCAGGGGAATTCGAGGAAGTCACCCAATAATGTTAACAAAAGTGGAACTATTACAGCTGGAATAAATGTTTGTTTGTTGTTTGTTTGTTTTTTGATTTTTTTTTTATTCGTTTGTTATAAATTTGGAAAACTAATTTTAAAAAATTGGAAAAAAAGAAAGATAAGACAAGAATGGGGCAGTAGACCAAGACAGGAAAACTTTCTCAGACTTAGGTCTGTATCCCCTTCAGGACAAATTTCTGGAGACCACATGCCAGTGGTGGGCGGGGCCAGAGGCAAAAGTGGGAGGGTCAGTGAATGTAAATGTTACCTTTGTACAGGAAGCTTGTTTCTACTCACACACTCACCCCATTGCCCTCAGTGAGTTAGGGACTTCCCCTGCATGTGAAGACAGGCTCCAGTGGATTAAGCGGACGAGACCAAGAGTTAGTCCAACAGTCAAGAAGGTGGTTTATAGTGCTGAAGGGGCAGATGGGGCTCATCAACCTGGGAAGGGCTGGAAACCAAGCCTTATGAGCAGCAGTTGAAGGAGCTGGGTATCTTTAGCCTGGAGAAAAGGAGACTGAGAGGAGAGATGACAGCCATCTTCAAATACCTCAAGGGCCGCCATTTGGAAGAAGGAAGAAACTTGAACCAATGGCTTCAATTTACAGTGGTACCTCGCGTTAAGAACTTAATTCGTTCTGGAGGTCTGTTCTTAACCTGAAACTGTTCTTAACCTGAAGCACCACTTTAGCTAATGGGGCCTCCTGCTGCTGCCAGGCCGCCGCCATGTGATTTCTGTTCTCATCCTGAAGCAAAGTTCTTAACCCGAGGAACTATTTCTGGGTTAGCAGAGTCTGTAACCTGAAGCGTCTGTAACCTGAAGCGTCTGTACCCCGAGGTACCACTGTACAAGAAAGGAGATTCCGACTAAACATCAGGAATAACTTTCTGACAATAAGAGCTGTTTGACAGTGGAATGGTCTCCCTCAGACGGCTCCTTCAGTGGAGGTTTTCAAGTAGAGGTTGAATGGCAGTCTGTCATGGATGCTTTAGCTGAGATTCCTGCATCTCAGGGGGTTGGACTAGATGACCATTGGGGTCCCTTCCAACTCTGCTATGATTCTATGAACTGAAGCAGGACTCTGATTGCAACACCTGCTTTGGTGGGAATGAAATGGGGCTGAACTTCCAGTGCACCCGTCAGAGGAAATCCTTTTTTGCTGCTTCCACCTCCAATATTTTTTCCACTGCAAATCCTGCCTCCCTCTTCTCCCAAGAGCTTAGGAAGCTTGTACAGAGCCTGAGCAGAGGATGAGGAACAGCAGAGAAATCGGAAAAGACGGGGGCGGGAGGACACGAGGTGACAGTGAACTCAATTGTGATTGGTATATTGAGTCACAATCTCAGCCCATCGGCTGTTTAGCACTTGATTAAATGACTAAAGTAATTAATGCTTTCAAAGCTCTCAGAGCGAGTCTGATGAACAAGAAGCAAAGAGCGGCGCTGTGTATGAATGCTCAACGGGGAAAAAGACACACATAGATTGTGCAAAATTAGTGATGGCACAAAGGAGTTGAAATTGTCACTCTTTTGTTCCTTAAAAAAAGAAAGAAAAAAAGAAAGCAGGGATTGAAATGTTTCCTAGGGGGAACAAAGGAATCCTGCACACTGCCGCAAATGTGTAAGAGTGAATACAAATGACCCTTTGCCACGTTAACTTACCATGCTGCTCATGGAATCAGTTGTTTGGTAAAACAATCATCTGTTTTGGCAAGGAAGGACTGGAGCTAGGTGGTTGAGCACATGCTTTTAATGCAAAATGTCCTAGCTTCAGTCCTGGTATCTCCAGGTAAGGCTGAGGAAAGACTCCTGTCTGAAATGCTGGAGTTAGATGGACCAGCATTTGACTTGGCATAAGACAGCTTCTTATGTCCTGAAAGACCTACACTGGCTCCCAGTACGTTTCTGAGCACAATTCAAAGTGTTGGTGCTGACCTTTAAAGCCCTAAACGGCCTCGGTCCAGTATACCTGAAGGAGCGTCTCCACCTCCATCGTTCTGCCCGGACACTGACGTCCAGCGCTGAGGGCCTTCTGGCAGTTCCCTCGCTGCAAGAAGCCAAGTTACAGGGAACCAGGCAGAGGGCCTTTTCAGTAGTGGCACCCGCCCTGTGTAACGCCCTCCCACCAGATGTCAAAGAGAAAAATAACTACCAAACTTTTAGAAGACATCTGAAGGCAGCCCTCTTTAGGGAAGCTTTTTAATAGGTTATTGTATTTTAGTGTTTTGTTGGAAGCCGCCCAGAGTGGCTGGGGGGACCCAGCCAGATGGGCGGGGTATAAATAATAAATTATTCTTGTTATTATTATTATTATTATGGGTTGTATTCAGCTGAATAATAAGGCTACTTCATGGATGAGTGCTAGCATAATGGAGTTTCCCATCTTCACCTGCAGGTACCCCTACTGTCTACACACAGAGGAAAATCTCTTCCCCTTAGGGAAGGACCAAAGCTCAGCGGCAGAGCACATGTTTTGAAGGCCATATGCTCCAGGTTCAATCTTTGCCATTTCTCAGGTAGGACCTAGGAAGGACTAGGTAGGACTATCTGAAGCACTCAGTGCTCCATGTGCAGATAGTACTGATGTAGGTGAGTGTTTCTCAAACTTGGGTCTCCAGCTGGCTTCAGACTGCAATTCCCACCATCCCTGGCCACTGGCCATGCTAGCTAGAGAAGATGGGAGTTGTAGTCCAACAACAGCTGGAGACCCAAGGTTGGGAAAACACTAGTCTGGATGGACCAATTGTTAGGCATTGGGAAGGAATCAACTCACATTTAAAGGCAAGCCTGCCTAATTTTCAAACCGAAACAGCCATCCTTTGAGAGTCACAGTTCTCTGAATTTTGCAACACAGTTCTCCATCCAGCTAATGTGCATATAAATGCACATACTGGGGTAAAGTGTGCATTAAAATAGCATGCAAAAATTGTTATATTAGGAATAATGGCTTTACCAAATTGTATATATTAGGAGAAATTTGCACCAAAGCACTGATGAGAATTTCAAGAGGACTTAAAAGAAAAGATTCACAAACTGATGTGGAGATGTGGAGAACTGAATTTAAGTGGAAAAATGCGAAGCTGACTGTCAGGGAACTGCCATCAGTGCCGGAGGGAGAGAGCAAAATCCAGAGGGATTCCAGAGAGCGTCCCGGGATTGGGAGAGGCAGCCCATCTTCTGGGGAAGAGAATCAGCGTAGCACCAGTGGAGAAGGGGGGCAGATGGGGGAAGCGGCGAGGTGGTCCCATGACTCCTTGCCGGGGACCAGCGGGGGAGTAGAGGTCCTCCGCTGCCTACGCCCTCCTTGCGCAGAAGGCTTTCACGCAGAGAGAGTAGGAGGAGACTAGGCGTCAAAGAGCTTCTTTGCTGGAAGAAGTTTAAGAAACACCCACTGACGGATTCTGCCAGCGATTGAGACAGCCACGGGTGAGTGGCTGTCTGGACAGAAAAGGTTTACTCAGGCAACCCAGCCAGGTGTTTGCACCGGCATGATGGGGGCTGCAGGGCACGACGAGAAGGGGGAGGAAGAGCCGGTGCAGGGAAACGACAACGCCTGGCTGCCAACCAGCAAGGGCAGCAGCCAGGCCAGCAACCAATAGAAGTGCCCCAGCCTGACCCTCCCAAGGCAGCTATAGCCATAGAGGTGGTGCTAGAACTCCCAAATGGGCACCCCGTCAAAGTGGAGGGGCTGCTAGATTCTGGCAGCTCGTGTAATTTATTCACCAGAGACTTCGCTCTTGAGCACCAGCTCCACCTGTTGCCACTAGATTTTCCCTTGCAGGTGACCACCATCGATGGCAGGGAACTCCTGGGAGGGGAAGTGACACACCAGACACCGCCAATGCGAATGAGTGTCTCCAGGCACACGGAAACCATTGCCTTTCATGTGGCCACACTGGCAGGACCCCCGATAATACTGGGAATGAGCTGGCTGGCAATACATGACCCAGTGGTGTCATGGCATCAGCGGTCGGTCACCTTTGGGTCAGCTTACTGCTTAGAACACTGTCTGGGAGGGAAGGAACCAAGAAGGACTGTGGCCAGGGTGGCTGGGGTGGCCCTGGAGCAAAAAAGGGAGGTGCCAACACAATATGCTGATTTGAAGGAGGTCTTCAGCGAGAGGGAGGCAGACAGACTGCCCCCCCACAGGCCATTTGACTGCCAAATCAACCTGCTTCCAGGGGCTCAGTTACTGGTGTGTAAGCTGTATGCCATGTCCGACCGGGAGATGCAGGAGTTGCGGCAGTTTATTGACAAGAACCTGAAGAGGGGTTTCATAAGGGAATCAAAGGCGGTGGGGGGCAGTCCAGTGTTCTTTGTGGACAAAAAAGAGACTAATCAGCCCAGATTAGTCGTGGATTACCAGGCCCTAAACCTGGTGTCAGAACCCGTGACTTTCCCAATGCCCAGAATTGACGATATTTTGACACGTGTGAGGCAGGGGAAGATTTTTACCAAGCTGGACCTCAGGGGAGCATACAATCTGATTAGGATAAGGGAGGGGGACGAATGGAAAACGACCATGTTCACCCCCCTGGGGGCTTTTGAGTACTTAGTCATGCCATTTGGATTACAATCGGGGTCCGCCTGCTTTCAAGCCTTCATGCACCATGTGTTGGGGCCCCTGCTGTACAAGAATTGCGTAGCCTTTTGGATGACGTCTTAATCTATTCGGACAATGAAAAGCAACACGTCAGAGACGTCAGGGAGGTGCTACAGAGATTGAAGAAGCATCAGTTGTGGGTCAAGCTGGAAAAATGCCAATTCCACGCCAGGGAGGTCGAGTTCCTGGGGTACAGGTTGTCAGACAAAGGACTAGCCATGGATCTGGGCAAAGTGAAGGCAGTGCTGGAATGGAAAGCACCCCAAAACAGAAAGGATGTGCAGAGGTTCCTAGGCTTCAGCAACTTCTGCAGGAAGTTCATAAAGAACTTCGCTCACTTGACAGCGCCCATAACGGATTGTCTTAGTAGCAAAAAGAAGTTCGCGTGGACAGAGGATGCGCAGCAATCCTTTGAAAAACTGAAGAAGGCGTTCGCCTCGGAAGAGCAGCTCCTGCACGTGGATCCGGAGAAGCCCATGAGACTGGAGACGGACGCGTCCGACCGCGCGATTGGAGCGGTCCTTTTGCAGCCCGGGGCCAAGCAGAACTGGAGGCCGTGTGCCCTTTTCTCTAGGAAGCTGAGCAAGTCGGAGCAAAACTACACGGTGTATGACCGAGAACTGCTTGCGATCTATGCGGCATTTCGGCAATGGAGACATCTATTGATAGGGGCGCGGCACAAGATCCAGGTCCGAACTGACCACAAGAACTTGGAATACTGGCGGACCGCGCGAGTGCTCAACCAGAGACAGATCAGATGGTCCCAGGAGTTCGCCAAGTTTTTCTTCGAGATCCGATACGTGCCGGGAGAGGAAAACGTAAGGGCAGATGCTCTCTCCCGGAAACCGGAGTACATGGAAGGAGAGGGGCCACCAGAGACCAGGCACGTGTTCCCCGAGGACCGGTGGGTGTGGGGGGGAGCGTTGGTTGGGAAACGAGACCTGGCAGGGCTCACCAGACATGATGAGTTTGCTCAGACAAAAATCAGGGAACTCCGGGACGGAAAGGAAGGCAATGGAGGGTTTGAGGAAAAGGAAGGACTACTGTACTATAAGGGGGCGCTGTATGTACCAGGGGAGACTTTGAGGGGGAAGGTACTTAGACAACTCCATGACAACCCAACAGCTGGGCACTTTGGACAGCACAAGACCATGCTACTTGTCACCAGGCAGTTCTGGTGGCCAAAGGTGAGGGAAGACGTACGAGAATATGTACGAGGGTGCGACCGATGCCAGAGGGCAAAGGGGGAAAGGGCTGCCCCCGCAGGGCTACTGGAACCCTTACCTACACCGGAAAGGCCCTGGGAGGTGGTGTCCATTGATTTTATGACAGATCTGCCCAAGTCAAGGGGAAAGACAGCGGTCATGGTAGTGGTCGATCTACTGACTAAAATGTGCCATTTCGTAGCTTGCTCACATGCAGCAACGGCAGAGGAGACAGCCAGGCTGTTTGTGGATCACATTTTTAGACTGCATGGGGCTCCATTGAGGGTAATCTCGGATCGCGGGAAACAATTTACTTCCCGGTTCTGGCGGAGACTCATGAGCTTGCTACAGGTCGAGGTGAGCTTCTCGACGGCGAGGCACCCAGAAACCAACGGACAAGCCGAAAGAGCGAACGGTATACTCCAGCAGTACCTACGCTGCTATGTCAGCGAGAGACAGAACGATTGGGTAGAGAAATTAGCTTTGGCTGAATTTGCGTACAATAACGCTGAACACGTGTCCACGGGAATGAGCCCTTTCATGGCCAATTACGGGTGTCACCCCAGGGCCTTCCCGGGGCGGGGGGAGGAAGGATGGAGTGTACCTGCGGCTGAGCAATTTGTGGAGGAAATGGAGGCCTTACACCAGCAACTCAGGCTGAACTTGGAGCGGGCCAAGGAAGTTTACAAGAGGCAGGCGGACAGGCACCGTCGGGAGGGGGAGGCCATACGGGTGGGAGACCGGGTGTGGTTGTCATCCCAAGGGTTGCCCCTAAAGGGAGGGTGCAAGAAGTTGCAGCCTAGGCGGCTGGGGCCTTTTGAGGTAATACAGCAGGTTAACCCAGTGGCATTTAAACTCAAGTTGCCTGACAGCATGAAGATACATCCGGTGTTCCATAGGTCCCTACTTTCACCTTACAGGGAGGGGCGGGAATTCCTGGGACGGGAGGGAGGGGTTACCACCCACCCGCGGGTAGAGGAGAGGGAACACTGTAACGAAGCCACGGAAATACTCGATTCAAGGTGGCGAGGTCGCCAGGTAGAGTACTTGGTAGCCTGGGAGGGGGAACCTAGGTCTGAAAACACTTGGGTCCCTGCTGAATCAATCACTGACGGGTATCTGGTGGAAGAATTCCACGGTTTGTTCCCGGATAAGCCCAAACCATTAGCTAGATTCTGGGAGGAAGAATTTGGACCCACAGACGATGAAGGGGACTTTGTGGGTTTTCCTGCCTCCGAAGAGGAGGGAGGGGAGGTGTCCGAGGGAGAAGGATCAGACTGGGAGGTTCAACCAGCGGGAAGAAATCCGAGCGGATGGGAGGCTGGTTTTGAATCCTCAGAAGATGATGACAGTTCCTTCAGGGGATTCCCCGCATCGTCGACCGAGGAGAGAGAGGAGGTTGTATCGGAAAATCGCGCCAGGGGTGGGGTGGGGGTCCTGAGGAGGAGGTGGATGTCAGGGAACTGCCATCAGTGCCGGAGGGAGAGAGCAAAATCCAGAGGGATTCCAGAGAGCGTCCCGGGATTGGGAGAGGCAGCCCATCTTCTGGGGAAGAGAATCAGCGTAGCACCAGTGGAGAAGGGGGGCAGATGGGGGAAGCGGCGAGGCGGTCCCATGACTCCTTGCCGGGGACCAGCGGGGAGAGTAGGGGTCCTCCGCTGCCTACGCCCTCCTTGCGCAGAAGGCTTTCACGCAGAGAGAGTAGGAGGAGACTAGGCGTCAAAGAGCTTCTTTGCTGGAAGAAGTTTAAGAAACACCCACTGACGGATTCTGCCAGCGATTGAGACAGCCACGGGTGAGTGGCTGTCCGGACAGAAAAGGTTCACTCAGGCAACCCAGCCAGGTGTTTGCACCGGCTTACGCACGAGCAACCCCTAGAACCACAACACTGACATAATCCGAAACTGACAGATTGACCTATCCCTGGGGAGTTTGCTTACAAAAATGTGTATATTAGACAAAACTGCATACAAAATAATTCACACTAAAATGCTGCTGAATTTTCATGAAGACCCTTTGTTTAAAAAAGAAAGGCTTTCTGATGCAGAAATGCGAACTGAACTTAAGGCTGGAAAAATAAGAAACTGGCATAAACTGGCATAAACTGAAATTGACAGATTAGCCCCTGCCTGTGGTCTGGCTTGGTATAAAGGCTACTTCAAATGTTCCTAAGAAACCATCCCAACAGAGGCTGTGAGAGGGAAAGAGCCTATGCTTAGATGTTGCTGGATTGCAAGTCCCATCATCCTTGACCATTGCCCATTCTGGCTAGGGCTCATGGAGGTTGGGAATCCAGCATCATCTAGAGGGCCACAGGTTTCCCATGCCTGCGATATGCAAATCATAGCAGCTAGCCCGCACTGAACAATCCATCACAAGCAGGCCATGACTCTACTGCTGTCTCTCTTCTGCTGACCCTGATTTTAAGCAGTCAGAATTTTGCCTGGTGTAAGAAATATAAATTAGGAAATGAATTAGAAAATTATTACAACCGCCACCCATTTATTGCCAAGATGGGTGAATATAATATTGAATCACGCTCACAAATTGGCACCGGACTGAAAACTATAAATTGCATCGCATTTGTCAAAGTCTGGTGCACTTTTTGGCACCACTTTTGGGTGGAAATTGAATTTTCAGTTGGTATAATTAAGAACATATGACCCAGTCTCATCAGCTTTCGATAAACGTGTAAGTAATTTCATTGGAATAATTCCCCCCCAGGGATACAAGACATAGCCTGGGGACTGTAGTATTATCCAGGGCTGATGAGACAGCACACTGGTGAATAAGCTGACATATGCAGAACTCTTCTTGCCTTATTCAATAGCAAAATGGGCAGCTGAAAAAGCATTTGGACCTATCGTCTTCCTACACTACAGGACCATTTCATATGCATCGGTTTTTATCAGCTGCTAGCAGTGCCTCTGCCACTTAAAAGCTTCTTAGCACCACCAGTGCAACAGAGACAGGAGACAACAGTTCCAACTTACCGTATTATTCGCTCTATAACATGCACCCGACCATAACACACACGTAGTTTTTAGAGGAGGAAAATCCATAGGCATGCCACCCGTAGGCATTCCCTCCATAACACGCACAGACATTTCCCCTTACTTTCTAGGAGGAAAAAAGTGAGTGTTATAGTGCAAAAAATACGGTAATTCAAAGAGGGTAAGAACAGATGACCATTCATTTATCAAAAGGTCACTTGCTATCATGTGTATGTAACCACTACGTACAACTCCCTCCATTTCTTCTACATGTTTATTGCTCTTGCCTTCCTTCTTTGATACTGTGGCACCAGGGGCGTAGCCAGGGGGGAGCAGGGGGAGCTGCCCCCCAAAATCAAGTAAATGAATAAAAATACTTAACGAAAAGAGACAGAGGATGGTGGCAGGTGGGTGTCCTCTCCCCCTTCAACATAAATCCTGGCTACGCCCATGTGCTGCACCTATTTCACTGGGCAGGACCCGTTGCCCAACCATTTAGCACAGTGGTTTTCAACCAATGTGCCATGGCACCCTGGGGTGCCTTGAAGGATAGTCAGGGTTGCCACAAGCAACATTGGCCCCATCCCTCTTTCTTTCCTCCCCTCCCTCCTCTGATGCCCTCTCGCGTATCTGCCTCCCAAAGGCTTGCACATCTGTTTGTTGCAGCAGCCCTGGCTACAAGCTCCCCAGGCGAATAGGGCTGGCCAGGGCAGCTACAGAAAGAATGTAGTTGGTCAAGGAAGCCATGGACTCAAAAAGGTTGAGAACCTCTGGTTTAGCAGGTTGGAAGTTCCATTTCAGCACACACTTTTGTCTGGTAGTATCCCCAGAGCAGCTGCCCAGCTACTGAAGACTGGTAGCTTTCAGAACTTTGCAAAGTATAGACATGCTTGTTTTCAGCACACCAGCATTTCCAAAGACCACCATGGACCTGGCTCTGTTTTTAATTTTTATTTATTTAAAGATTTATAAACCACGCTTTCAAATAAAATGTAGAATTTCACAATGCAGACCAGATTCATATAGAATTCTTATAGAATATAGGCAGTGCACATCAATTCATATAGAACGTTACAATTCACACTAAAAACACAGTATTAGAATGTAACAACAACAACCACCTCCACCACCACCACCACCTCTCAAGATTAACATGGCAGATTTGGTGTACATCACTCAGTTTGACTTAACGCAACCAATTGTTTAATCAACTTGTATAGGTAGAATAAAGATGAACATAAAGAGGCTGCCCCTGCCATTCTATCATGGTTACAAAAAGATTGCTTTATCAGCTTCCAAAATTCCTGAAGCTTCAAACCAAGGAAGACTCCGTCCCTCCCACCAGTCACCTTTATGTGTGGAGATTTATGTTCTCTCTCAATATTTAGCTGTCCATGGGCACACATTAACTTTCAATTCCCGACACTTCTGTAGAGGCCTTAAGCCCTTTGCTTGAAAATTGATACCTATGCCCAGCCAATTATGAGAAAAATGAAGACAAATGTCTGAGTCCAAGCTAACTGTAACTGAGGAGACTGGCTTCATTATTTCTGGGAAGATGTGTGAAGGCCATTTTTCCATGACTTCACAAAAACCTTTCTAGTTCCTATTTGCTGTGAGACTGTGAGCCCTTCTCCCCATACTGACTTCATGTACTCTCAATGGTAGCGTTTGAACTCTTTCTTTCACACGCACTTACAAAGGCAGGCAGGCAGGAAACATGAGGCCCAGAACTCTTGCCACCACTCTTATTAGGCTCCTGGTTGCCTCATTTTCATTTTCATTTTTTTAAAAAAAAGAAAGATCAGCTATATTTTAAAATTCTCATTTTATCCAACATCACTGAAAAAAACTACTGAAAAACTCATGGGACTACATCATAGAAATTCAGAAATCACTTCATGAACAGCATTTTAGCTATATGGCCAGTGTGGTGTAGTGGTTAAGAGCGGTAGACTCATAATCTGGGGAACCGGGTTCGCGTCTCCGCTCCTCCACATGCAGCTGCTGGGTGACCTTGGGCTAGTCACACTTCTCTAAAGTCTCTCAGCCCCACTCACTTCACAGAATGTTCGTTGTGGGGGGGGGGAGGAAAGGAGAATGTTAGCCGCTTTGAGACTCCTTAGGGTAGTGATAAAGTGGTATATCAAATCCAAATCCAAACCCTTCTTCTTCTTCTCTTCCATGGCTTTAAAAAAAAATTAATCTCCTGTGACTTCTAGGCTTATCATGCGATGTTCAGGGTTTGGGTTAAGGCCCCTAGCTTACAGCCACCATCCTTGATGGCTTTGGGGATTAGACAAATTTATGCAGTGCTATTTTTCTAGAAAAAGGGGTTCCAGAACTCACGATGAGCACCTCCCTTATTCTCTTAGAATGGCAATAGTGCCCACCTGAGAGGTGCCAGAACTGAGTTCCAGATAGTTCCAGATTAAAAACGCCCTGAATTTATGGAGGATGAGCTTATCAATGGCTGCTAGTCATGATGGTAATATGCCACCTCTAGGATCAGGAATAGCATGCTTCTGAATACCAATAGGAAATGCCCTCATGCATCTGGTTTGCCACTGGGACACAGTTTGCTGGATTAGATAGACCTTTGGTCTAATTCAGCCCTTCTGTTCTGGTGTTGTTATTTCTGTTTTGTTTTTCACTTACTCCAGAATGTATACCCACATCAAGTCATTTCTAGATACCAGGGATGGGGAACTTGTGAATCTCCAGATGTTGTTGAGCAACAACTTCCATCATTCCAAAATATAGGTCATGCTGGCAGTGGCTTATGGGAGTTGGAAGTCAACAACATCTGAAGGACCATTAGCTTCCCATTCCTCTTATGCACTAATGGGGACATATCTGTGGGGATCATAGATCATATCATAGAGCCAGTGTACAAGACCCAAGAAAAGAGGACTAGGCCTTATTCATCTCCAAAGCCATAGTAGGCAGCGCCCTTGATGCTGCCTTTGGATTGTCTACCTGCGTACAGTAGTACCTTGGGTTAAATACTTAATTCGTTGCGGAGGTCCGTTCTTAACCCGAAACTGTTCTTAACCTGAAGCACCACTTCAGCTAATGGGGCCTCCTGCTGCTGCCGCGCCACCGGAGCATGATTTCTGTTCTCATCCTGAAGCAAAGTTCTTAACCTGACACACCATTTCTGGGTTAGCGGAGTCTGTAACCTGAAGTGTATGTAACCTGAAGTATATGTAACCTGAGGTACCACTGTACTTGTTTTCCAGTCAATCAAAATATTGGTAAAGAAAAATGTGTTTCAAAAAACCAGCACAAGTCTCCTGTATTTTCAGGACTGAACCGAGGCATTTTGTTGCCTGAAGTAAGAAGCAAGATGGCGCCTTCTCCTGCAGTTCCATCACATGTTTCTAACTTCAACACAGCGGCTGCATCCACCTGTCAAGGTTCAAGGAATCCTTTCCCTCCCCCGGTGGCAGCAAAACAAAGCAGGTAACAAGAAGAGTCCTTACCACGTAATTTATTCTGGATTTACACACACAGAGAAAGGAATGTAGTCCCTATTAATCAATTGCATAACCTAGCAATTCTAAAATATAGACATGCTTTTACTCTTGCAAGATGGAATATATTGCCCTCGGCTGTACTTGAGGGACGATTCCAACAGATTCCACACAAAAAACGCTTATGTCCCTGTGGAGATGGCAGTACCAAATTGATGGTGCCTGCCCTTCTGGCTTGCACTCTTTATAAAGGCTTGAGGAATGAGATTATCACCCCTCTTTTATTGTCCATTCTGGGTTGCCCAACCACTGCCACAGTGTCCTTTCTCTTAGCAGATCAAGATGAACAGGTGACAGCAAAGGTTGCAAGGTTTTTTAGCTGGGGCAATCAGAATAAGATCCACTATTTGACTATTGATTCCAAACCCTAAAATGTATTTTATTTAATGACTTTTTTATTTCTGTTCTTTGTATATCATATTGTTGTTTTATTGCTATGGCCGATGACAGACACAAATAAAGATTCATTCATTCATGGCATTTCTCCAAGTAATCTTCTTCCCCCTTTTACTCTCCATCGCCTGTGGTGTCACCCTTTATACAGTGGCTGCGTAAGGCCCTTTGTCTGTTTGCTTTCTGCACTTCCACTTTAACAGCCCTCCTGGTTCTATGAGTAGGGGCGTCAGGAATGCTTTCTAATGATAACGTGTCCACCAGCTGTTTTGGCTCTGCTGCTTCTTTCTCCTCCCCTTCCATTATCTCCCAGCTCTGTCCTTCTATCTCAGAGTCATGACCTTCTGCAAACCACTGCTGTAAATCTATACAGTCTTCCTCTTCTCAGGAAGGTTCAGGAAGGGGAGGCGGCCTCCACCATTCCTGCTCAGTCCAGTCCCTAACATCACCACACCTGAAGGCAGCAGGGCCACTTTATGGGGAACAGTTGCACACCCAGTTCAGTCCTCCACCATCTTAGTCTTCCACCATCTTGCTGCCACTGTTTGTCAAAGGAGACTGCCTAACTTTGCCTAATGGTAGGGGCAGCCCTGATTTTCTCATTGTACAGAAACTTTAAAAAGGGGAGGGGGCTAATCCTGTCAGTTTCTGCTGCTTCAGGTACTTTCTAAGGATCAGAAAATGATATGCACCAGAGGTACCAAGAGATTCTGCACACTTTTGTGGTTAGGATATAACAGGGCTGACACAGCTCATCTGTTTTGACCAGAACCTAGCACTTTTCCAAGTTTAGTTTCTGCTGAATAAGTTTAAACTTGTATGAAACTTGCACAAGTCCCCCTCCCCTCTGCATTGGACCTTGAAACCTGATCCTTACATTCCACTATTCATTACTAACTGTTTTAAGCGAAGACGGGAGACATTAAGACAGATTAGGTCCAGTGCATTTTTGTTTAACGTAGCATTCCTTTAAAAAAAAGATTGATATAGGGTGGCCTATAAATACTGTACATACAACGTAATCAATCAATGAATGCAAATAAATAAAAGTGCTATCCCAGTTTGCATCTGTGTTGGATTTAAATTGTTTTGACATATGTTATAATTGTTTTCATATATCAAACTGTTTGGGTTTTTTTATCGCTGGTGTTTTTATTGTGAAATTGCTTTGAGACATTCTTTGGGAAATGATTCTTAAATGGAATTAATTATGTCAATAAATGAATACTGTGTAACAGACAATCAAGCTGGGCCCATTTTGTACATAACTGAGGTAAAAGGGGACCCTGAGGCAAAAAGTCAGCAATATTGTATACTACAATTATAAGGAACAGAACTCTATTTCTTAGCAATATTTCACTGGCTATAAAATATACATCTGACAACAGCTTTATGCTTAATCTTTGGTGACAGTACAGTACACATTTGCAATCTGATTTACTGATGCCCATAAGAAACATGCGAAGTGATTAATTTTATCTTCATTCAACAAACTACTCAGGGTTTTTTATGTGGGCTGGTTGACAATATTATAATTTTCTCTGTAAATTGAAAAATGAGGCTCTCTGTTGGTTCAGCAGAAAGATGCCTACAAGGCCACCACAAAATGAATACCAACAGTCCCAGTACTGCATTTTCTGCCTACCTCTATTACCTCAAATAACTTTTTTCAAACACTCAGGCTACCACCATAGAAACAGTTACCGTATCAAACTGTCATCTTACTTCAAATGAAATATCAGCCCCTACCTACTACAGTGGTCTCAAGGACCACATGAAGCAACCCGTAGGCTCTTGAAGACACAATTCCTCTGTACTAGTAGGAATAAAAAGGTAAAGGGACCCCTGACCATTAGGTCCAGTCGTGACCGACTCTGGGGTTGCGACGCTCATCTGGCTTTATTGGCCGAGGGAGCCAGCGTACAGCTTCTGGGTCATGTGGCCAGCATGACTAAGCCACTTCTGGCGAACCAGAGCAGCACACGGAAACGCTGTTTACCTTCCCGCTGGAGCGGTACCTATTTATCTACTTGCACTTTGTGCTTTCGAACTGCTAGGTTGGCAGGAGGTGGGACCAAACCACGGGAGCTCACCCCGTCGAGGGGATTTGAACCGCCAACCTTCTGATCGGCAAGTCCTAGGCTCTGTGGTTTAACCCACAGCACCACTCGCATCCCTACTAGGAGGAATGCCCATTTGCAAAAGCTGAACAGAAGAATCAATGAAAAGCACCTTCTCAGAATGAATTTCATGCCTTCTGGAGACTTACCACAGCAATGGTTAGATGCAGGAATGCTGTAGTTTTGCCTGGAAACTTTGTTGTTCAGGTACACAGCAAGGCCGATGGGGCAGAGTCTCACAATGAGCCACATCGACATTGACAAACAGTACACCCCACACTGGGCAAACGATTCCTGCATTGCAGGAGGCTGGACTAGATCAGGGTTTCCCAAACTTGGGTCTCCAGTTGTTTTTGAACTACAACTCCCATCATCCCTAGCTAGCAGGTCCAGTGGTTAGGGATGATTGGAATTTTTTAGAATAGAAACAGCTGGAGACTCAAGTTTTGGAAACCCTGGACTTGATGATCCTTGGCTTCCCTTCCAACTCTGCAATTCTATGATTCTGTGGTGCTGGAGGAGACTCTTGAGAGTCCCATGAACTGCAAGAAGGTCAAACCTATCCATTCTTAAGGAAATTAGCCCTGAGTGCTCACTGGAAGGACAGATCCTGAAGCTGAGGCTCCAATACTTTGGCCACCTCATGAGAAGAGAAGACTCCCTGGAAAAGACCCTGATGTTGGGAAAGATGGAGGGCACAAGGAGAAGGGAACGACAGAGGACGAGATGGTTGGATAGTGTTCTCGAAGCTACCAGCATGAGTTTGAGCAAACTGTGGGAGGTAGTGGAAGACAGGAGTGCCTGGCTCCATGGGGTCACGAAGAGTCGGACATGACTAAACGACTAAACAACATCAACATGACTCCAACTCAGGAAAGAAAAAGACCTTTCCACAACCCTTCATCTGAATTCTTCAACTGCTTTGCAGCAGCACTGCATTGAGACAACATTCATTTATTTAGTTCATAAAATTTAGACACTGCTTGATTGTAGGAAAAACCTCAAAGCAGTTTATAAGCACACTATTTACTGCATCAATGACATGTTGCAGGATACACCTGCAAAAAAATCCCAAACCCTACAATTCTGAAAGAGTATCCTTTTTATTTTTCCCATACGATGTAAACTCAGAGCCACAACTATCAGCGTTACAATGAAAATGCCACTGGATTCCTCTTTTCTGCTCTGAGAGTGATTTTAAGCCCTTGAATCAAGCCTGCATGCCTCCCTGGCAAATGACTTAACATCACATCCACACAGAACCTGCCAGCACTTTTACTGCTTAGATTGTCATTAGTGCAAGGGGCCACTTTGTCAGCAGAAAGACGCATTTCAGACTGTTTCCCATTGATTTTGCAGTTTATATATATTGCCCAAATCAATCAAAGCTTCAGGAAGGAGTTCTGAACTTTCCATCTCACTCTTCTAATGAGTCGTTATATTCTAGGGCGACTGAGCAGCAAAGCTCCTACCAACGTAAGTCTACCCCGATTTTTAGGCCGCCTACAGACAGTCGCTATTTTGCAGAAGGAATTCAAAGCGCATACTGCAAATTTAGGTTTGTTCAGTTAAAGCAGATTTAAGCCTCCCATCACCCTAGCGCAACAAATGTATTTTTTGTAATGAGGGTATTGGTTTTACTTTGAAGATTCTGGGCATCACATGGCAGGGCAATGTCTCAAAGAAAGGTGAACTTTCCCCAAGTCCACATTCCCAGCATGTTCAAAGTCCTGGCTCAGCGACATCTATGCTGACTCGGCCATGTCCACGGAATGGAAGATATCAGGATCCCAAACTGTCAGGGATGTCAGGGAACTGACTTCAGGCAACAGGTCTGTCGCCAGACCAAGTCTGCATTACAAAGATGTCTGCAAAAATGGCATGAAGCCTGGGGACATTAACCACACCATGTAGTAATCCTTTGTAGACAGCCGCAGTACTAGGTCGCATACAATATCCACAGCAGTGATCAGGGGCAGAATGACCACTGGGAGGTCCATAGAAAGAAGAAATGCCATAGTACACCGACATTAGCACAACCGGGCACTTCCATCTAACCCACCTGCAATAAAACATGTCTCTCCTGTATCGGCCTTTGCAGCCACAGCAGGTGCTGTAACTCTCCTTGCAAGAGGAAGCAGGGACTCTTGATGCCTTTGTAATGCTTTATTTAGGAATGTACAGGCTTAGCAGATAGTAGTAGTAGTAGAAGAAGAAGAAGAAGAAGAAGAAGAAGAAGAAGAAGAGGAGGAGGAGGAGGAGGAGTTTGGATTTGATATCCTGCTTTATCACTACCCTAAGGAGTCTCGAAGCAGCTAACATTCTCCTTCCCCTTCCTCCTCCACAACAAACACTCTGTGAGGTGAGTGAGGCTGAGAGACTTCAAAGAAGTGTGCCTAGCCCAAGGTCACCCAGCAGCTGCACGTGGAGGAGCGGGGACACGAACCCGGTTCACCAGATTACAAGACTACCACTCTTAACCACTACACCACACTGGCTCTACTACAGGATTGCTCCGGGAACCTGGACCATCAGCTGGTTCCAAAGCAACATTGGCTCTTCCTTAGCCTAGCCTCAATGGAGAAAGATCTAAAATGTTTCTTCCAAATTTTTCTCATTAGCTGCTAAATTAGACCCAGGGCCAACACTACTGTTAGGGAGAGTGAGGGAATCGCCTTAGGGGACAGATGCCCAGGGGCAGCAATAGCCCTTCATTGTTCCTCCTGAGCCCTCCACCATCCCCTTCTGTTGCCACATCCCCTTCTCCTGGGCTCTGCTGTCTCGGATGTGGAGGATCACCAGTGTTGAAGCTGGTCCAGATGGTTTCTGGCAGTGGAGTGCCATCTTGTCTGGATCAGCTCCTCACCATCATATTGTTGTTGTCCAAGCATATTTGAAGCAGCTGGTCATCCAAGCAGGCTGAGGTGATCCTATTGCAGCCATTTACTTGAGCTTTGTTGTTGTTGTTTAGTCGTTTAGTCATGTCCGACTCTTCATGACCCCATGGACCAGAGCATGCCAGGCACTCCTGTCTTCCACTGCCTCCTGCAGTTTGGTCAAACTCATGCTGGTAGCTTTGCGAACACTATCCAACCATCTCGTCCTCTGTCGTTCCCTTCTCCTTGTGCCCTCCATCTTTCCCAACATCAGGGTCTTTCCCAGGGAGTCTTCTCTTCTCATGAGGTGGCCAAAGTATTGGAGTCTCAGCTTCAGGATCTGTCCTTCCAGTGAGCACTCAGGGCTGATTTCCTTCAGAATGGAGATCTTCTTGCAGTCCATGGGACTCTCAAGAGTCTCCTCCAGCACCATAATTCAAAAGCATCAATTCTTCAGCGATCAGCCTTCTTTATGGTCCAGCTCTCACTTCCATACATCACTCCTGGGAAAACCATAGCTTTAACTATACGGACCTTTGTTGGCAAGGTGGTGTCTCTGCTTTTTAAGATGCTGTCTAGGTTTGTCATTGCTTTTCTTACTTGATCTAATTCCCCTCAAATGTCAGGCTCCACCTTGCTCAACACAGTTCACAGGTAGGGCTGGGAACCTGGGGCCATCTCCAATCTTGCTGGACATTCTATAATGTCTGAGCACTGGCAATACTGGCTGAGGTTATACGGAGTTGGATTCCAGCAACATCAGGAGGAATTCAGATGGCAATGTATTATGGTTCTCAGTTTTGAAAATAAGTCTCATCTACCTCTGGTCTTACTGGCTGGAACTTAAATAAAAACTTATGAGGGAAATTCATCTTTTGTAATCCTCACTCATTTGCCCCACAGCCTTCATAGCTCTGCTCTCAGTAAACACTCAGTACGGATAGCTTCCTCTGAAATATTCATTGCCACATTATGTGACCTCAAAGCTTAATTTCTCAGTTCATTTCCAATAACAATTTGCCGCCATTCTTAAAAGTTAAAATATCAGGCAGAGTCAGATATAGCTTCACGTTTTCTAATAATGTCTTGCTCTGTCCAACAATGGCAAACAAGAATAGCTGCTGCCGTATATCAAATTTACAATGTAAACTGCATTAAAATGAATGTGAAATCAAAAATGACTCAACCGGAAGATTCCTCTCCCCTCCCCCTTCCTTAAGTTCATCCAGTCGTAAGTTCAAATAACACAGCCCACTAGGCAGTCTAGATAATTAGTGCAACATCAGCACATGGCTGTACTGTACAAAAAGGCCTGGGGTCTTGACAAAAGCGAGAGAGAGACAACCACAGAGAGGGCAGAAGGGGGTATGATTTCTTCTCTGAGATCTCCTTTATGAAATATACATAGAATTACTATGGGTGAGTTCTATCTCTCTTTTGAATCTGCTTTTAAGATCTCCCTCATTATCAATTATCAGTCTGCCAAATCCATTAATTGCTGGCAGAGATTAGTGCTGACATACTTGTCCGCAAGAATGAGAGATGCAAAATATTAGTTTACATTCAGAGCCTTTGTCCAGGACAGTGGATGGAGCCTCCAGTTTGTAGGCCTGGATTTGGTAGGATCTCAGTACAGGCGATGAGTGAGCTCTCCAAGTTTATCTGGAAATTATTGATTCTGAATTTATTGAATTTATTATGACAATGTCAAGGCCTTTCTTCAGAATCAGTTTGGGTGCAGATTAAGTGCACATTGATTAGTTGCTGTTTACTCATGGTCTAAACATCTTCCTTCAAAGTCACACTCTTATTTCAAGAAAGATGTTTTCTGGGCAACCCATGCATTATATTTTGCTGTGAAGAAAATGCAATGCATCTCTGCAGATAGGACATCAGTTATACTAGAATCACCATGTGACACACAAACACATATATATGTATTTCTAAGTATCCTGGGTGCCTATTTAATGTTTAAGATTAACAGTTTTGAGCACGAAGTAATTTTGTGAATATCTGCTTGTGTTTTATTATTATTATTATTATTATTATTATTAGACAGAATTTAATCTGTGGTAGTGTACGTCTCTCTTCTGCAGGCCCAATGGTCAAGTTCTGGGCACAGTATGTTCTGTTCTCACCACTTTGCAAATGACCATTGCCATAGAAACAGAGACATGTTTGCCTTGAAGAAAACTCTAAAATATTTCTTGGGTAAATCCAATTTCATTAGAAAATAGCTCAGTCTCTTGTGACAAGAGTCCCACTAAGGCTGTGTACACACATTTTACTTTTAACGCCCATTCAAAACACACTTCCCCCCCTCAAAGAATTCTGGGCACTGGAGTTTACCCCTTGTGGAGTTACAATTGCCAGCAACTCTTAACAAACTACAATGCCCAGAATTCTTTGAGAGGTGAAATGTACTTTAAAAGTAAAGTGTGCATGTAGTTCAAAACCAATGAAAGATGTTGACCATAGCTAATTTAAAGATCATGTTTCCCATGGGACTTTGGGTGAATCCCATGGACACTTATTGGACAGTTCATTTCCTTCTGAGTAAGCACTCACAGGATCGGGCCATGAGGACATGAACTGAGAGACCCTTTTAGCTATATGATGGCGACCAGTACACTACATTTTGTAGCAGCATAGCTCCCCCGATGCTCCCTCAGTAGCAAAGTTAAAGACGCAATAGAAAAAAGAACTCTGGATGAATGGACTCCTATGAATGTGCATTTCGTTGTATGTCAGCTGTTTTGCAATCTCGCACCAGCCTAGGTTGAGGTCCTTACTGGACTAAGCTGATCTTCTTGCATCCCACCCTCAACTCTACCCAATTTCCCTTCACACAAATCTAAAGTTATGCTGGCATCATAATTTCAAATTGCAGAAACATACAGAATTTGGTAGTAATCCTAACCTTACCCAGCTGATATAACCCCCAGATACAACTGCACAGATAAATCCTTCCTCCTGATATTTTCAGTCTTCCATGAATACACCTAATTTTCATTCTTTGGAAAGTGTAATTTTGGAAACTTTGAGTAAGTGTGTGTGTGTGTGTGTGTGTGTGTGTGTGTGTGTGTGTGTACCACACACATATGGTAATAGTCAATGTTAGTCATACCCAGAGTAGAATAATGAGTATGAATCATGATCAACAATCACTTGAATTGTGTGTATATCTAATAGGTGTGTGAGTTGTTGGCATCCGTCTGTCTCGGGAAACAATGGAGGAGTGCACCTTCAGAGTAAAGGCAAGCAGTTGTAGAGTATTTACTCTTATATCACAAAAAATGTGATTTTACATCCAGACTTTGCCTATATTTTGCCTTACCAATGGTCAAATTGGGAAGAGAACTCCATTTCTCCCCTCCATCAGATATCATGAAAGTCCAGCACCATATTGTCTCCCATCTCAATCAAAGACAAGTAAAAACAGCTTCTTGTTTCCAGTGTTATCCAACTCCAGAAGAAAAATGATCTAGCCGTGTTCACTTTGAAGAGCACAAACTGCCTCTGATAATGTATCCTGCAATTTGTCTTCCATGTAATCACCTCAAAGTGGGTTCTGGGTGTGCTGTGCTGCACAGTGGCCTTTCAGTTATTTATAAACTTCGGTTGGAATTTACTCATCCGTTCCATGTTTCAGCCTCTTGAAAGATATCTCCAACACCTTCGATTTCTGGCATTTATCAGCACAATGTTGAAAAAAAATAAATTAAATGGCAACCTATCAATGGGCACAGTTCTGAACCAATTTATATGTTTGCAGCAAAGTCCTTGTGGCTCAGGACAAAGCATGCTGAATCATTCTGACATGTTGTTGTTTAGTCGTTTAGTCGTGTCCGGCTCTTCGTGACCCCATGGACCAGAGCATGCCAGGCACTCCTGTCTTCCACTGCCTCCCGCAGTTTGGTCAGATTCATGTTTGTAGCTTCGAGAACACTATCCAACCATGGTGAGATATAAAAGAGGTGGCAGAAAAATAGAGAAGGGAAAATGGTGCCCTTCCCACTTTTGGCTCTGGCCCCACCAACTTGGGGCACAGGCTCTGTCCAGTACTGTTTTACGGCCCCACCGACTGATGGCAAATGGCCCCCAGGAGATTAACTCCCAAGAAAAAGCAATTCTAGATGGGGGGGAATGTTCTCGACTCTTGTGGTAGAGTCTTTGTTGCTGAACTTCAGCACCCATCATCCCTGGCTATTGGACATGTTGACTGGGATTAATGGGAGTAGTAGTTCAAACATTTGGAAGGTCCTACATTGGGGAAGCCTGCTTTCCATTGTCAGGCTCACAGCCATTTCTGCGACAACTTGCAGAAAATGCCTGTGAAATCAAATAAATGGCTGTGGAATTGCTTGGTTCATGGAAAGCTGAATTCCCCAACATGGGAGCTTTCATATGTTTTGGAAGTGCAAATTGAGTTTCAGGAAGTGCAAATTGAGTAGGTTTGCATCATAATGTGAGGTAAACTAAATTTCTCCTTCACCCCTCTCCAAAAGCAAGAGTAGATGCTACTGTTCTGCTTTCTAGACATGAATACTTGTAAGGGGTTGTCACAGAACAAATTCTGTGCAGATTGGGAGAACAGATTTCATATATACAGAGTGTTGCAGAAAATGATACTGTGTTAATAGCTGGGCTATACTCTCAGACAGGAGTCAGCAAACCTTTTAGCAGGGTGCCGGTCGACTGTCCCTTAGGCCTTGTGGGGGGCCGGACTATATTTTTTTTGGGGGGGGGGATGAACAAATTTCTATGCCCCACAAATAACCCAGAGGTGCATTTTAAATAAAAAGACACATTCTACTCATGTAAAAACATGCTGATTCCCGGACCGTCCGTGGGCTGGATTTAGAAGGCAATTGGGCCGCATCCGGCCCCCGGGCCTTAGTTTGCTTACCCATGCCATCTCAGATGTACTACTGTATCTTAATGCAATGGGAAACAACATATCCGTAGTTTTGGCTAGACACAAATGCATACCTTAGTACTCATGTGAAACACCCTTTGTACTCTAGATCAAGCCTTTAATTGCAGGGGCAGAAAACCTTATGAATGAATCTGTTAGCATCAACAGCTCAGAAGATGCTTTTTCAAAAAACCCAGGTACATCATAAAACCCAGATAATTAAAGCACATAGGAAGTCCAAGAAGCCAGCTCTAACATGTCACTTAGAAAAATCAATATGTACAAGGACACATTGACTATAGCAGCTGCCAGCAGTGCCTCGCCAACATTCAAACCACAGTTTCACTTCTGCGTGCATGGCTGTAGAATCCAGTAAAATGCATTTAGCTGGATTTTACAGGCTCCAAGCAGGGAATAGATAGGGAAGCATCTATACTTAAGTCGTTAAAAAGAGATGTCGGGGCTTAAGGCTACCTGGAAGCCACACTTTATGAGCTAAAAGCTCTTCCCTTTCACTCCCAGATATATTGGAGCAGGTCAGCCTTTTCCATGGAGATATTTGACTTTCACTTGCTATGTCTTAAATCGTTGAACTCATTTCACAATAGTCAATTCCACCATGCAAGCTTGACATTCTTTCCTTCATCCAATCCCTCCAAAGAATGGCAAAGCATGGAGAGACCTCACTGTGAAGATTTTAGGCGAGGACCTCGAAGAAATATTACTGTATTTTTTGCTCTATAAGACTCACTATTTCCCTCCTAAAAAGTAAGGGGAAATGTGTGTGCTTCTTATGAAGCGAATGCAGGCTGCGCAGCTATCCCAGAAGCCAGAACAGCAAGAAGGATTGCTGCTTTCACTGAGCAGCAATCCCTCTTGCTGTTCTGGCTTCTGAGATTCAGAATATATTTTTTCTTGTTTTCCTCCTCCAAAAACTAGGTGCGTCTTGTGGTCTGGTGCATCTTATAGAGCGAAAAATATGGTACAAACTTCTGCTGAAATGGAGCAAATGGAATTTAAGACTGGGTAATAGGAGACTCTAGGATAAACCAAAATTGAGAGACTCTTCCACCCTTATTTTCAGTGTTGTAGCAGGTTCATGTAGGAGCCTGAAGGACAAACATTCCACACACACAACAGCTCTATTAAATGTGGAATGTGTTTGCTAGATTGAGGTGTATTTTTTTTTAAGCCTCTTCAGGAAAGCTGACAGGTCATCGATCTGTGATTCACTTATGCACTCTGCAGAGTTTTTTATGCAACCATTTCCCACTGAATCTTAAGCTATTTTCCTTGCCAAGAACCAAATTAAGTTGGACAACTTACAGCTGATTCAACAATATGAAGGTAATGTTGTCCTTGCTTTTATTTGTGAGGTTTTCTGGGTTTTCCTGCCAGTGAATAGTGCTTGAAAAGAATGGCCTAAATACACTTTTCTTCTGGCTTTATCTCTTTGTTTCTCCCCGTTTTCCTCAAGCCACAACTAGATGTGAGGTGAGGCTCTGCCAGTGGTAGCAGGCAGTGCCATATCGTCTATTCCTCCTTCACCCAGTAACATTTAGTACTATAGAACCACTGCATTGGCTGCCAGTTCCAGAACCAGGGAAGCCTGGTATTCAGTTTCATCACATCATGTGCTTTGTAGCATTACATTGCAGTACTACAAAGCACATGATGTGATGAAACTGCTGTAGACATTACTGGGGGAGAGAAAAAGAGGAGAGGGTGCAGGTCTTTTGTTTTGCATAGAAGCCATCCAGCTCCTGCCGCATTTAATTCTGGCTGCAGATGCATTCCTTGAAACCTTTTTTATAACTCTGGTAATAAGAATAGTGTTTTATAAAACGAGGGATTGGTGCAAAGCATTAAATGGACTATCGCTATAGCCCTACTTCAGACCTTCTCCACATTTAGGGCAAATGTCTGGAAAAGGAAGAGTAGGACCACATGACTGGCCCTCCCTCAATTTTGTATGTGCCACTGGTCCTTCAGTGTGATGTATGTGTGCTCAGTGCAAAAACGGCAAAGGATCTTCTACATGTGCACAGATCTAAGTATGCAGGTGCTGGGAACCTGTGCAACTGGAAGTTGCAGTTGCATGGACTGTCAACAAATGTAGCGCTATGTGTTTTACAGATGCCCCTTTGTGAACATTGTGTGAATGTGTATGTATGGCAAGCAGGAGGCCCAGTAGTGTGGTCCTGCTGCTTCCGACTCCACACATTTACCCTGGACTCATTAGTAAAGAAGAAGAAGAAGAGTTTGGATTTGATATCCCGCCTTTCACTCCCTTTAAGGAGTCTCAAAGTGGCTAACATTCTCCTTTCCCTTCCTCCCCCACAACAAACACTCTGTGAGGTGAGTGAGGGTGAGAGACTTCAAAGAAGTGTGACTAGCCCAAGGTCACCCAGCAGCTGCATGTGGAGGAGCGGAGACGCGAACCCGGTTCCCCAGCTTATGAGACTACCGCTCTTAAATACTACACCACCCTGGCTCTCAGAAGAAAAAGTGTTTTATATGTGTTATAACACTGTGACACCAGATGGCGCTGTGGAGTCCCGTCTTTCGCCAACGTGATTTCCCATTATGAAGTTTACAACATGTTTTCCTGAAACACATTTTTAATGTGTCTAGATCCAGCCCCTTACTATGGAGAAGCCCTGAACAGGATTCTTGTGTTGTCTGTACCCAACATTTTGCTACACCATAGCAAACTATTATGTTAGTGCACATAAAAATAACACCTCCAAAACGATTAAGGAGTTTCCCTTTAGAATGCATAGTAAAAAAAAATTAGGTGATATCCAACATTAGTAATACTCAGAGTAACCCCAGTGGGTGGTATTCAACTAAGTTTGTGGATTACATTCAACTAGGGCTTTTTTTTCAGCTGGAACTCACCGGAACTCAGTTTTGGCACCTCTCAGGTTGGCGCCACTGCCATTATAAGGGAGGCATTCATGGCGAGTTCTGGCACCTCTTTTTCTAGAAAAATAGCACTGCATTCAACAAAATAAATTCCCTTATTTGTTCCAATAGTAGCTCTCAAGATTGAGCCATGCAATATAACGCACAATGAATAATGCTCTGCACCTCTATTTATGGCACCATTTTTTATTTGTGGTGATTTTGCTTAATCTATCACTTCAAAAGCATTGAAGCCAAAGTCAACCCCCACTCCACCCCACTGCATCCCACCCAGACCCATGTAAATTGCCAAGGGGCAAAGTCAGTGAACAGGACTCCTATTTCTCCTGCCTTCAAAGAACAAAACAATAATAACGCAGGAACGGGACCGTTTATGGCCGTGGAAAGTGATTGCTAGTAAAAAGATAGCATGCTGTAACAACACAATAATGGCTCCTTGAGCTCACTGAAAGCCCGGTGATAAATCTGAGGGTGTTTCTTTCAAGAGAGGTTCTTTTTTATTATTACTCTTTCAGAAACATAAACGGGTAATTCCACAATAGCACTTTGAGTGTTTTCTTACCTCGACTAAAATAAAGCATGGCAAAAGTGTCTTGATCTTACGAGGATGCGGCCTAGTGTAGGAAGGCATGTTGACCTGTGGGGGGAGAAAAGGGGAAAAAACCTGGTAGAACAGGCATGCAAAGTATTCGTTCTTCTTCAGCTTTGATCACAGAGCAAGCCTGGGCGGGAAAATAAATTATAATCCATGCAGATAGATTGATTGATGGATAAATAGATAGAGATAGAGACAGAGATAAAATGTACCTAAATATATGCATATGGGTAGAGATAGATAAAGATAACCTGTGTATATATATACTAAGGTTGCCATACGTCCAGAATTTCCTGAACCTAGCAGGATTCGGTCATCGGAAAAAGCTCAACAATTTTGGCCAAAAGAAAAAAGATAAGCTCCACAACTTTGGTCCAAAAAATTCTTTTTGTTTTTTGAGATTTTGCAAAATAATAATAATAATAATAATAATAATAATAATATCAACAGCTTTTGTGTCCAGATTTTCACTTTTTGAAATATGGCAAACCCTAATATATACCCATATCTGAGCATTTCTAGCATTCTCTTTCTAGCTAATTATCTTGTGCAGGATCCCTTTACCACAGGGCTAGGACATGACATCTTCATGCCTAGAGCAGGAGAGAAGATGGCTCCCCCACTATGGTTCCATACCAAAATTGACCAGATTGGCAGCTGAGATTCTTACTTCAACACTAACAAAGTGACAGTACATCCCACCTGAGAGCAGCAGGCTAGCTTAGGGTTGCAGTGCAGGCCAAGTGGCACACAAAGGTCTCTTCTTCATTTGCCCTGTGCCCCATCACCTGTTACCTGAGGCAACCACCACATTCAGTCAAATGGTAGGGCTGGACTTGTCCTGTCACAATGACAAGGATGTGAAGGGAGATTCCACTCGCTTTTCTAATGGGGATTTAGGGGTGTGTCTGTCCTGCACATCCTGGCATTTACTGTAGGAAACAGCAGGGCGGTAGTGCCCCTGTAGCTATTCCAAACCCTCGAAGTGTGAAGCAGTTCTAAGCAATCAAACATGATTGCAGTGTAAAATGTGAAGTAACTGCATCGCCACTCCTGACAAGTGATTGGAGGATCTGACATAGTCAGCCTCTCTCCTAAGACCGGTTCATCCTCTTTGCTCCATGATGTCAGCACAAATGGGCTATCCATCCACAGAGCCACAAATCTGTCCAGGAACCATGCATAATTAGGGAATGGGGATTCTTGATTTGCGAAGCTCGTTGCACTGACAGTTTGGGACACAGAAAATCAATCAAGAGAAAACGCAATGGAGAGAAGTTCCCCAAACATCCAGTCCCACAACCAAAGCTTGGAAAAGCCATTGCATCTTCCATTCCTCTTGATTCTTCTATCTAGGGATGTATTGAAGGAATAGGAATGGAGGCAGTAGCAGTAACTGAAGAAGGCCGTTGCCAAGGAATAAACACAAGCATGAACTGGAGAGCATTCATGTCCTGACTTGTAAAAAGTCATACCACTTTCTAGTTGTTGTTGTTGTTCCCCCCCCAACAACAACAACAAAATTCCCTCTGTCCCACAAGCCACACAAAAACATCTGGAATGAAGAACCTCTGCAGATATCTGGTAGAATTAAAGAGTGGGTCTATCATATAAGGTTAAATCCAGTCAAAGATGACTATGGGGTTGCAGCGTTCATCTAACTTTCAGGCTGAGGGATCCAGCGTTTGTCCACAGACAGCTTTCCGGGTCTTGTGGCCAGCATGACTAAACAGCTTCTGGTGCAACAAAACACCACATGGAAATGTCATTTACCTTCCTGCCACAGTGGTACCTGTTTATCTACTTGCACTGGCATGCTTTTGAATTGCTAGGTTGGCAGGAGCTGGGCTCATTGTCTTGGGGTTTGGGGGTGGGGAGAGGTGACAAAACTGATTCCAATAAGTGCCCCCCTTTATTTCCATAACAAGTCCTTGAGTCTGTACTCTGAATAGTGACACCAGGGACTTAGAATGTGCAGGGCTTGTCAGTCCATCCCCTGAACAGTCTCATCAGGGCTGACCTTAAGGCAATTGGAGCAATTGGGCCAAATTGGGCCTCGCACGCTGCTCATAAGGGGGCCCCCGCACCAGGGCCATCTAGATGGATTTTATTTATATCTATAAGATTCTGCAGACTTTGGCTGTGAACTGGGGCCCTACAAAAAACAAAAATTCAAGTTGCGCCCCACTACTTCAAGTTGGGCCCCACTGTCTAGCCCTGAGTCTCATAGTTGCTGGGCCTGAGTTGCCCTGTCTTGGGTTTGCAATTTTGGGAGCAGGGAGACTGTGGCACTGAGGAGAGGACAGGCTGGTGAGGCCCCCTAGATTTAGAGGTCCAAGTCGCCATGCCCTCACATGAAGTCTTGGATTTGCAATTTTGGGAGAGGGGAGGTTGCCTGCTGGGGAGTGAGCAGACAGGCACGGCCCCCTAGATTGAGAGACCCAAGTTGCCCTGCTCTTGCATGAAGTCTTGGGTTTGCAATTTTGGGAGAGGGGAGACTGTGGCGCTGGGGAGCGGGTGGACTGGTGAGCCCCCCTAGATTTAGAGGCCCTAGGCTTCAGCCTACTTAGCCTATACATAAATCCAGCACTGCTCCTTGTTCTCCCCCAGCCCTGGTCATTCCGCTCCTCCATATTCCAGTCATTTGCTGTTGAGATTTTCAACATAGTGAGGTCTATTGACATGCTGCTCATGTTCATAGCAAGAGCAGTGAACAAGAAAATGCCTCATAAAACTAGAGGCAGGATGGGCTCCTGAAATTGTCATCTGATTACTAAGGATCGGAACAAGCATAAAGTGCTGGTTGAATATGACAGCTCTTTTATGGAGTAATAATTTACACTCGAGTCCATATCCCCAAAACCCTTAGTCAGTGTTTCTTTCTCCTTGCTCACACAAATTTCCCATTGACCCCCTTTTTCGCATAACCCTACAAAAGAGATGCGCTGTTTATGCAATACAATCTATTAATATTGCATATGGCTAGTTGAGTGCCCAGTCATACTAAAGTGAAAAGTGCAGCTCGCTGAAGGGAGAAATGTGCCATTGTTATAATTTATTATTCATTGGGGGGTGGCAAAACGCTAGAAAGAAGTGAAGACTTATGGGAGAAGTGAGGTCCTGTGAGCTGTGGCTAATGAGAATAGTGACTTTCCCGAATCCATCCAATGTGTTCAGGACTGAGGTGGTTATTTTTGTCACGGCTGCACTCTGTCACTCATGGACCACATCTGTACATTTAAAATACATAGCTTCTCCTCAAAGAATCCTGGGAATTGTAGTTTGTTATGAGTGCTTGGAACCATAGCTGTGTGAGGGGTAAACTACAGTTCCCAGGATTCTTTGGAGGAAGCCATAGGTTTTCAATGTAGGGTGTGAATGGGACAGAGGAGTGACTTATTGAATGCAGTCACAGCCAAAATAATCACCTTAGTCCTGGGGTTGCCTCAGCTTGCCTGGAACTGTGCTGGGTTGAAGCCAGGTGGCAGAGAGGCCAAGGTTGGGCAGATTTTTTTGGGCCAAAGTTGTTGAGCTTTTTTGGCAAAATCTTGGGGGGGGGAGTGAAATTTGCCAAAATCTACAGTTCCAACATGGGTTGCCATATGTCCCGATTTTCCTGGACATTTCAGTGATTTCCGTCTGGGTACTGTTTCCAACAACCAAATCCCAGCTATTTCTGGAAAATTCCAGACGTATGGCAACCCTACTACTGACTCCAATCAGTTTTCCCCTCCTACACTATTTCTTGCTTCTTGGGAGAAAAGCAATGACAAACCTAGACAGCATCTTAAAAAGCAGGGACATCACCTTGACGACAAAGATCCATATAGTTAAAGCTATGGTTTTCCCAGTAGTGATGTATGGAAGTGAGAGCTGGACCATAAAGAAGGCTGATCGCCGAAGAATTGATGCTTTTGAATTATGGTGCTGGAGGAGACTCTTGAGAGTCCCATGGACTGCAAGAAGATCAAACATATCCATTCTGAAGGAAATCAGCCCTGAGTGCTCACTGGAAGGACAGATCCTGAAGCTGAGGCTCCAGTACTTTGGCCACCTCATGAGAAAAGAAGACTCCCTGGAAAAGACCCTGATGTTGGGAAAGACTGAGCGCACAAGGAGAAGGAGGCAACAGAGGACGAGATGGTTGGACAGTGTTCTCGAAGCTACCAGCATGAGTCTGACCAAACTGCGGGAGGCAGTGGAAGACAGAAGTGCCTGACATGCTCTGGTCCATGGGGTCACGAAGAGTCGGACACGACTAAACGACTAAACAACAACACTATTTTCAGGCCAGGTTTTTTCCCCTCTCTCAACCAGGAGTGATTAGTTAGATGAGGTGCTACTACAGAGCTGGCCTTCTGGCATCAGTCTTGCTGCCACCTACCAGGATGGTGAAGGACAGGGCAAGGTGGCAATGAGGTTGGGGCAGTGTGGGTATACCAACAAGAGCACTAGACTGGCTCTGTTGGGGTCCTTGCCACCTCCCTGCCCCTACCGTCCAGGTAAGCTGCATACCCCTCAACTGTCCCGAGAAAACCGGGACATCCCATTTTTTGCTCAAGAGCATGGCAGCCATTTGAGGCGCCATGATCTCACACCGCAATCTCACCCCAAAACAAAGCACTTTTACGGGGCTGTGATCTCGTGCGGGTCATGTGACTCACCAGGAAGCACAGCCTGGAAGATGCATGGCCCGGTTTTATCTTGGACTTGCTGGAGGGTATGAAGCTGTAGAGATCTTGCTGCCTGAAAGCTAGCTCCATTATGCTGTCCTCCACCGGCTCCTGCTCTCAACAGCCAACCAGCATTCTGTGGGAACTGAGCATGCTCCGTTGGGCTATTTGAGGGTTCCCCTCCCTCTGTGTGTGTGTGTGTGTGTGTGTGTGTGTGTGTACATCCGCAAAATGTGGGCTTCCATCAAATCTATCAATGCCCCCCTCTTGTGCATGGATGAGTGGTGGAGTTCTAGCTACATAAAAGCAAAAGCAATAGAAGACTTTAGATGGGTATCAAAGTTCTAGGTTTGAGAGTTTCAATAGTTACATTCAGCCATAACTCTCTCAGCAAGGCCATACCTTATAATAATAATAATTCAGCATTTAACTGAGACAGGATTGACATATTAGATTCCAGTCATTCACCTTGTTACAATTTTTGGCTGAGGTTCACCTAGGCTGTGGGCAAAACAGATGTCAATAATTCATTGCATCTAAAGATAAATACTGTCATCTAATCAAACGTATTTAAACATTACACAAACTCATTATGGTTCTCTGTAGCTTTCTCAGCTCCCCAGGGAGGTGTAAATGTAATATTTTGCCCAAAGGTAGGTGAATAAATGTAGCTGGGAAGCACTGAGTTTAGCTAGAGAGTAAGATTAAAGGAGTCAGCACATGTGCTCTGAAACCAGGGAAGAAAATATTTGCCTGTCAGATAAGGGAAAAATATTTTCTAAATACTTGCAGATCAGTAAGGGCCACCAGTTTTAAATTAACTATCCAAAGGCTTTGCATTCAAACTGCATGAAAATGTTTTGTGTGGTGTGTTTTTTTTCCATGTTTCTCTTTGCTGGTAATTAGAAGAGTGGTCATTTTCATCCCTGGGCATTATGTATTTATTTAAACCATGCAGCACCTCAGGGAGATACACAGTTAAAAGATATTTTTAAAATGCAGTCTCAAAAAAGTTATAGAATTTTCTGGAAACAACATTAAACCAAGGAGAAGCAGAAACAGACACTGTTAATGAAAATAAGAACCAGAGTTTATTGAATGGATGAAGCTGCTGGATCTGAATACTAGAGTAAAGCGAAAGTTCCATTGATGAATGTTTGGGGCCACAGGGACTTTGACCCCCACAATAAAATATTTGAGGAGGTTGGACACCTCCCCCAAAAGTTGATGGCTATTGCCATTCAAATGGTGTGTGTGCACCGTGTCATGTGATCGATTATGTTGGGGAGGGCTTACCTGGGCCCCCCACAATATTTAATTCAAGTTGGCCCCTTGGGTTGGAGAATTGATGGGATGAGGGGTTTGAGACAAACTAGATATGCAGCCGTGTGTCCCTTTTCATCTTCTTCACCACTTACAGGGACAACAATCCTCACTGGAGATTATACTCCTGCAAGACTTAACAGTCATGGAGGGGGCAATTTTGCAGTTGTTTACACTATATAAATGTTGGTTAATGGGACTTCCAACACTTTGAAGCCAAAATCTGGGGCGCCACCTTCCGAGACGCTATCTTTCCATTTTTTATTGTGAGAGTTCAGTGGCCATTTTGGTTGCTATGATCTCATACGATTTTGTACCACAGCCTCCCCTCCAAAAAAGTGTTTTTTGGGGAGGGAATTGCATTGTGAAATTGTGTGAAATCACAGCAACCAAAATGGTCTTGTGATAAAAAACGGGATGGCACTGATGGAGTATGATACAGTATTATTATTATTATTAATTAATTAATTAAATAAATATATACTGCCCTATACCCGTAGATCTCAGGGTAGTACAGAACACAAAATTACAATATAAAAAAAAACAGAAAATGCATATGGCAGGGCCAGCCAATGAGCTCCTGATGTTGTTGGATTCTGCCTCCCATTAACCCTGACCATTAGCCATGCTAGCAGGAGTTGATGGGAATCCCAAGGCATGCAAGGCTTCATAGGTCAAAACCATGCAAGATATGAATGTACTAAGTAAATCAAGGTAGGCCACACAGCCCTCGCCACACCTCTGTTTGTCCCATTACTGAGCTGAATATGTAGATTAAGTAGCTGAGGAAGACTCTGAAGCAAATTTTACCTCAGAATGGAATTCCTTCCCTTTGCCTTGCTTTAGACCAACGCTGCAAGCTGAAGAGTATCTTTGCGGAGGAAGATAATGATTTAAATGAAAACAAACTCCAAAAGGACCCGAGAGAGAGCACAAACGCTGAACTCAAAGCAGCTCACAAGCCACAGATCATATCTGACAGACCAGATTATAAATGGACAAATCCATTCCAATTTATATTCCTGTGAATACTCCCTTGAGGCTTTAGGTTGGCTTTAGTACTGTACAAGAAGCTTCTCCCTTATTTTTCTGTCAGTCTGCATAATCGTCCGATGTCATGACCCCAACAAAGCAAGGCATAGCCACTATCCTCAGTTATTTCCCTGCCCCCTTACAGGGAATTATTGACTATATTACTTTTGTTGCACCTGTTTGTCCTCAAGTAGTACAAAATGTTAAAATGGCATAGAACGATGTAGTCAGTTTTATATCAGCAGTAAGCTGGTGCCCACCAGAAATCCAGAATTTAAACCAGTTTAAGCCCAGAATTGTACCAAACTAAAGCAAATACAATTGCACTGTCTCCACATTGGCGCCTTATTCAGTCACTGACATAACTATGATGTTAATTTTAGTCTGTTTTTGTCTTGTAACGTTTGTATGTTTTAAAGTAGGGTTGCAATTTTTTCTTCAGTTCTATTGTGTTATCTCTTTGTAAACCACTTTGAGGTTATTCACCATCAAGCAATGTATAAATTTTATGAAATGAAATAAATATGCTAATTGTTGAGGAGCCGCTACAGGAAACAGAAAGCCGGTATGTCATGCACACATTTGTAGTTACCTTGGTTACTATAAGAGATGAAATCAGAACATACATGCACCTGTCCCTTGAAATGGGATGTGAGGTGGTACTGCAAATTAATTAAGGAAGTCCTATTTTCAACAATGTCCAAAATTTGATATGCATGATCTCTATATATGCATCGACCTTACCCTGTTAAATTGGTTTAATAGTTATGAGGGGTCTCTACCAAAGACTTGCTAGGGTCTTCGTGAAACTTAAGTTCTTTGGAGGAAGCCACGACAATTAAACTGGCATGAAAACCAATGTAAACTTGTAGTGTAGATTTATCCTCTCGCAGTAGAATAGCCTGTTTGAGTTGGGTTTAAACGTCTAGGTTCAATCATTAGAAAGGGAGGTTTTTTTAATACAATGGCATTTTATTGGGTCGTGATTATGCTCCAGGTTCTTTCTTTCCTTACCATTCATTCATATATTCTGTTGCCTCTCCCTGAGCCTTTCAGATGGGAGCACCCTATGCACCTAAAGTAGTCATTAATCATAGCAGCAGAAGAGATACAACTCAGTGATCTGTACATGGAGTAGTTTCTGCCTGAAACACATTAATTTCCCTGTCCCTGTAGACCAGGAGTCGGCAAAATTTTTTAGCCGTGGGCCGGTCCACTGTCCCTCAGACCTTGTGGTGGGCCAGAGAGCAGCGCGGGCGGGGGGGGAGAGCTGGAAGAAGAGGTGAGGGGGGCAAGTAGTCTTCCTCCCCACCCCAAACCCCCAGCCCCAGCCTTACCTTCCCTGGGGCTGCCACCACCACCACTGCTGCTGCTGCTGCTTCTCGTGAGTAGGCAGAATGAGCTCGTCCGCTTCACTCTCTGGCCCACAGGAGCACTAGGGCGGCAGCGGAGGAGGGAAGATGAGTGGGACGGAAGGGCTGGCTCCGGAGAGGGGCTGCTTAAAATGGCGCTCAGCCAGCTCAGCCCAGCCCCCTTCCTCCTCTAGGCAGGGCAGGAAGAAATCAGGAGGAGGGAGGGAGGAGGCGCCACCACAGCGTGTGTGAGGGAGAGGGGGGGAATGGAATGGCACATGGGGAAATGGCGCAGCCCAAATGAACAGAATCCCCACGCCGATCCACGGACAGTCCACAGACCGGATCCTGAAGGCAATTAGTCTTGATCTGACCCACAGGCCTTAGTTTGCCAACCCCTGCAGTAGACTAAGGATGTGGGAATATGTCCATTTGAGTTCCTCTCAGTTTCTCATTTTTCCGTTCTTAAGTTCAGTTCTCCACATTTCCACAGTGATTTGCCATATTATTTTCTTTAAAGTGCTTGTGAAAATCCCTTTCTCTTAATGTCTCTTAATGTACATTTTTTGTGTGTAATTTTGCTGAGTATACATATTTTTGCAAAACAATTCCCCCTAAAATAACACATTGTTGTACAGTGGTACCTCGGGTTACATATGCTTCAGGTTACATACGCTTCAGGTTACAGACTCTGCTAACCCAGAAATATTACCTCGGGTTAAGAACTTTGCTTCAGGATGAGAACAGAAATCGCGCAGTGGCAGCAGCGGGAGGCCCCATTAGCTAAAGTGGTGCTTCAGGTTAAGAACAGTTTCAGGTTAAGAACAGACCTCCGGAACGAATTAAGTACTTAACCTGAGGTACCACTGTATGTTATTTTCACCAGTATATGCATCCATATGTACACTGTACCCAAGCATGTGTATTTTAGCACACATAAGCTGGCTGGAGCACCGCATTGTAAAATTTGGAGGAGTGCGAATTTCAAAGAATGGCTGCATTTCGGTTCACATCCGGTTCCAGAAAGTGTAAATTAGGTAAGATTGCCTTTAAATGAGAACTGAATCAAATTTTGCCCCCAGTCCTAGACAGGGATATGGGCTCATGACAAGGCCTTCAAGGAACTGAGCCTTGCAGTGGAGGATGACAGAGAGGAAAGAAAGTCCTCCTGTCTCTGTTCCAAGAGGTTTGGAGTGTGTATGTTCCAGGATGAGATTGGTAGACTTACTTGCAATCTCTCTGCTATAATAACTTCTAGTTCTCATCTATGCTTACTGAATTGCTGATGGAGCAGGTTTCTCTCTTTTTCCCAGAACTTGAAAAAGTTTGCTTCCTCCAGTTTCTCCCAGGGTGCTTTGGGTTGTTGCTTTTCCAAGTGCTTTTAAGAGGGGAAAATCCCTGTAATTGCCTTTAAAAATCAACAAAAATATCTGCAGATTATACTCGGAGAGGCACACACTGAAGTGAAAAATGCTTCAAACCATCTGGTGATTGTGTTTGGTTTTTGTTTGGTTTGTAAATGCCACGTTTTATCTGTTTGTCAGCTTCATAAATTTCCCTCAGTATTATAAACCCATCATCTTTCCATTCCTTTGGCCAATCCACACCCACCCCATTTCTATACACACTATAAATGTTTTATGTGCAGAAATCTCATTGCCTTTTGACACCCCATAAAACAGGGAGACTTCTTCTCTCACCAGCTGCAGTTTGAAAACTTCAATGCTTGTGTCAACTGCAGCTAGTTCTTCCAAAAAGAGAGCCACATTTTGTTTGCGATCGCTGGGGTAATGGGAATAGGCAGGTAGCCTGAAGAGAGGAGGAGGAAGAAGAAGAAGAAGAAGAAGAAGAAGAAGAAGAAGAAGAAGAAGAAGAAGAAGAAGAAGTTCAAAATGTCCTTCAACAATATGCTTTCCTCCATTTCTCATTTTCCCAGTCTTATATTCACTTTTGTACACCTGTGGGGGTTTTTAAAAGTCCCCTCAAAAACCCATCAGCATTTTAGTATGCCATTTCCTGCAATATTCACATCTTTGCAAACACAATGCATTTTTGTATGCCATTTTCACTAAAATGTTCATTTTAATGCACACTATTCTCTAACAGAAAAGTGGGAGAATGGAATCACAGAATTCAGAGAAGAGGTGATTTTGAAAGATAGCTGCTTTTCAGTTTGTTTACTGCTTTGGGATGTGCTAATTAGGGTTACCCAGTTTCTCCCCATCCCTGGCAGCTATGCACATATGGTTGACATAATTTCTCTCATTCTCCCTCCCTCCCTCCCTCCCTCCCTCCCTCCCTGTCTCTATACATGTAGGAACTGCAGAATCTGAATTTATTTTGAATCACAGTATCATGCTGGCTTTTACACCTTTTCTATTATCTAAGAGATCAAGGAAATGTTGTAGCATACAAAATCCTTTCTTTCAAAGCCTTCCCCTCCAGATAAGTCATTTATGTCATGAATAGCAAACAGTACATAAAAGCTGATCAGCTGCAGAAATTTACACATCTGAAGTAAGTCTTGATCTTTAGACTTGCCACTCTTCTGAATACTGGAGGATGTTTTGGGTTTTTTGGAATCCATGGCCTCCAACATTTGTCAGATGAAATCAGGTGTACTTAAAAGAGAGAATAGTTTTCACAGAGGCATGGATGGCCAAAACAGAGAAGAAGCTTCTTATCCTCAGCAGCTGCTTCTGACATTATGGATCTGATACATAGAAAGGATTTCTTTGTGTGCATGCTGAACATGAAAAGTGGCATGTGACAAATCATGCACTCACAAACTGAGCTGCGTTTACAACTGCTGGCAAGCTAAAGCCAATTTTGTTTTCAATTTTTCTCTGGGCTGTGTAGACCAGTGGTCTGATCCAGTCCAAGTCACACTCACCTCTGATTTCACTATTATATTGCTTGCAACTTCTTTGCTGTTCTGCAATTTTGTTTGTCCTCCATTGTACATGAGTATTTATGCACGTTCAATGTATGTACTGTACAATGGAAGCACCCACTGGCTCAAAAGCCCTTCTGTGAATGAAAGGGCACAACTGGATTCGACCCAGTAGATTATTTTTCATCCAAAAGTACAGTGGTACCTTGGTTGTCGAATCGCTTGGCTCCTGAACAAATCAGCTCCCGAACACCGCAAACCTGGAAGTAAGTTTGTGAATGTTTTTCAAAAGCCGAACTTCCAACATGGCTCCCGCAGCTTCCGATAGAGTGCAGGAAGCTCCTGCAGCCAATCAGAAGCCGTGCCTTGGTTTTTGAACAGTTCCAGGAGTCGAATGGATTAAGTTCGACAACCAAGGTACCACTGTAACTGATTTGCTCCAGAATGATTGGCTGACCCTTTTCAATCCAAAAATGTAGACTCAGTGAATTGTAGTCAACTAAATTTTACTCAGAATACACCCACTGAAATGAATAGACAGGAGTAAGTTAGCCCCCCCCCCAGTATTTTATTCAAGTTGGCACCCCTGGTTGTGTACCTAGGGCTACTACCCCTTTATCCTTCACAAAAACCCTATGAGGTAGCTTGGGCCTAAATAAAGTTACCCAGTGAGCTTTTTGCCACAAGCGGGGATTAGAACCAATGTTTCCTCAGCCAGTGTGTGAAGTGCTAGATACCATACCATGGCACACGCGAAGATACAATGCCGCAAATAGTTAGGGGGTTTATTCTGTGATTCAACCCTCTTTAAATGGTGCTGCCTCCACAAAGTGTGCCAAAGGCTAAATAAAGACTAAAGTTTAAGTAAGTGGATGAGCTGGCAGTTCATCTCCTAGATGATGTACCTGCTTCAGTGTCAACCTCACCTTTCCCATTCCCCATTTGGTGCGGAAGACAGGGAATCTAACAGGCTGAAAGGCACCGTTTGGTTTAGTCACCCATTTTTCAAGTGATAGTTGCTATGCCTACATGAGACGTGAAGCAGCCACCTCATTTTATTCCCAGCGGGCTGTGCTCTTAAAAGCGTTGACCAGCAATAGAGCTTTGAAGAAGTGAAGGCTTGAAAGCCCTTCTCAGCAGAGTATATTTAAAATTCCTTTTGTCCTGCGGTAGCGCATTTCACTGAAGAAAATAAGCTCCGGTAAATAAATATCCTTGATATGGCAGCTTTAGATGGGATAGGATTAAAGTTGAGGTGGTAGGGGGTGCTTTTGCTGAACAGTTTCAACAGCATCCAAAACTCCCCCTCTATTTTTGTGGGGAGGGGGGTATTCTTTTCAAGAACTGTAACGTGGGGGAGCGGAAGGCAAAAGAGTCCATCCATGCAGAGTAGGAGGAAAGGGGAATCTCATTGGCCTTGATCACTTATGCCAGTGATGTAGGAAGGAATATCCTCACTGTCAATTGGCTTTATTTATGCTCAGTGACACAATCATGTAGCCAAACTTGATTGGCTAAAATCATTCTGGTGAAGAGAGTAATTGGGTGGGGGTGGCACTGAAACAGTAGCTGAGAGGAGAAACAAATAACAATTTAATATAAAGTGGGTTTTTAAAAAATAAATATATACAACAAAAATTATGCTACCAGAATTTTATAGGTAAATGGTCCCTCCTAATTCTATTAAAAGTGGTAGGTTTTTGCACCACATTTGTTCAATATTTAGTTTAGCTTAATATCTAACAATGCATTTTTAAAGAATAATTTATATTACTGGATATTTATAGGAAAATGTCCCCTCCTCGTTCTATTTTTAAAAACCCTTTCAGCTGGTTAAATATTGCCTCCCCTGCAGTTTGATAGCTGGGCTCTTAATAAGACTTTAGTAGATCTACTCCTGTAAGAATCTGAGAGCTGTAGACCAGAAGGAAGCTCTCTAAAGATCTGCCCCAACTATTTGTTAAAAAAACAGAAGCTTTTCTGTTGGGTATAATAGGACAGGAACTACCAAAAGAGCGAAATAAATTGTTTATGTATGCTACAACGGTGGGTCGGATTCTACTAGCCCCAAAATGGAAAGACGACAAGATACCAACAAAAGAAGAATGGCAAGTCAAGCTTATGGAATATGCAGAAATGGCAAAACTGATGGAAAGAATCAGAGAGATAATGAAGAATTTTAAAAAGACCGGGAACCTTTTACGTTGTATTTACAGAAATACTGTAAAGATAGGGACTCACTAGCAGGGTTTGATTAAACACTTACATGTAAGAAAATAAGACCAAAGGTTAAGTAAGGACAACATGGAATGAAATTGACTGTAAGATGTAATCATGAAAGAAAATGTGGTATAAAACTGATAAGAAAAGAAGAGTATTAAGATATAAGATTATAATAATAAGATAACAATTAAGCAGAAGTAGTAAATATTTCAAGAACCAGAAGGGGAAGTTGAGGGAAATCTGCTCCACTTCCCAGTGGGGAGGAGTTGCCATGGACCGCATGGCCACCCACTCCCCTCCGGGGGCAGGGGACCATGTCCCCGTTGCCTGGGGGATCCCGGCCATGTCAGAGCCCGGCCAGCCAATCCGCTGGCCAGGGGGGCATGGCCAGGTCCGTTTAAGCAGAGGCGTGAGCCGGAGGGCTTCCTCTTTGGCTCGCTTCCTCAATCACCCTCCCTCCCTATTTTGCAGGTTTTAGGCACTGGTCATGCTATGGACCTCGGTTGGTCACCATTAAGGGGCCTGCTAGGAATTTTTCCACTTGGCAAATTGGCTCTGGCCATGTGGTTTTCGCCTACCTCGTAGCAATCATCACAACTTTGTTAGGGCTGCGGTTAGGCATTGTTTGACCTTGTGTGTGGAAGGGGAGGTGTGGCCATCACCTGCCCCTCCAAGCTTAAGGGTATTCCGTTAAAGGAATCCGGGGGTGTTGATCTTGTCCGAAGCCCGGGTCGGGGGCTAGGGTCATGGCACGATCCTGACGAGAACACCAGGGGGAGCTGGAGTTGGTATGCATAGACAGGGCTCCCCCATCCAGTGGTTTACCCTTACTGGACTTCCTGCGCATCAAGCAGGAATCAGATATAGTCTGGTCCATTCAATGCCTAAGCCAATGCCGCTCACATTCTGTAATCAATAAAGTTGTGGCCAAAATTTGCCCAATAACATTAACCTAATATCCATGTCCTTGTTATTTCTCAACAAGGGGGTGGCTGCGGGGTCTTGACACGCAAGTCACGGGGCAGAGGGTGGTGATTCTTTTATATGACAAATGTTATATTGTGCTGTTTGATTGAATATAAATCTGTAAAAATCCAAGAAAGATCTGCCCCAAATGGACAGGAATTCTTGGTGCAATTGGCTCTTTGCATGCACATCCAAGCAGATACGTGTCTGGATTGAGGCTAGAGAGTTCTTTTTTTGTTAAATAAAGCATGCTGTTAATGCACAATTTCTTCCTTCCTTCCCCTCTTTCAGAAATAGCTAGGGAGGGGGATTCACTTCTGTCTAATAATCTTAAGATAGATCAAATGATGAGTATTGCTAATGAAACGCATTGCACTATCAAAGTACTTTTTTTGCCACTCACCTTCTTTCAAGATTGACGAGGTTGTCCTCAGAGTGAAGAGATTCCAGGTGACTGGCTCAGACAGCTCTTTCATCTGACTGAAACCTTATCCTTTATACAGTGAAAACTCAAAATACTTTGATTTTGCTCCTGGAAACCCTTAAGCAGTTTAAAAGTGTGCTTTTAAATGAACATTTAAAAAATAGTTTCCAATAAGTTCTGATGATCATATTGAACTATTATTGAACGACGATATCTCTGTAGATATTAGCTTTGTTTGGTTTTTAAGGTATTCAATGTTGAAAACCTTTAATAAAATTGATTTTTTTAAAAAATGGAATTCTCTTTTTGTTTTGGTTGCTTGATGATCATTTGTAAATTTGAAAATTAAATCAATTTTTTTAAAAAAAGAGAATAATATTGAACTACTATGCAGGGTTGTAAGAATAAATGTGTTCATAACACTCAGCTATGGTGGTGGTAGGAATGAGATAACATAGTATGAGTCTCTCCCCTCCAACACACAGGTAGTATTTCTTCTTCTTCTTCTTTGGCGATCACTCGTAGCTGAGTAAGATTGTCTTCCATAAACACGGTTTTAACAATGAGTCTGTAAGTGACTGTGGAGGCCAATTCTGGATCCACATGTCCTTCTATAGTGGGGACATTGGTTTCTGGGCGGGTGTTGATCACGGTGTGGATTTGCCAAGCGTGCCTTCCTCTTAGCACGTTTCTCCCTTGCGTCCTGAGTTCGCGTGTCTTCAAAGCCCATGACACGTTTGGTACAGGCTGTTCTCCAACTGGAGCGCTCGCAGGCCAGTGTTTCCCAGTTGTCAGTGTTTATACTACATTTTTTAAGATTTGCCTTGAGAGAGTCTTTGAACCTCTTTTGTTGACCACCAGCATTATGCTTTCCATTTTTAAGTTCAGAATAGAGTAGTTGCTTTGGAAGATGATCATCAGGCATCATCACAACATGATCAGTCCAACAGGGGGTATTTACCACGCACCTTGAATGACTTTACAACCCAGTTTGCATGATCCATTTCCTGAGGGTAGAGGGGAAGGTCACTCTTGGGGCAGGGTGGCCTTCTTCCCTCTGATTTTACTCTCACATTGGATTTTCCCCACCCTTATACAACCCAGAGAAACAGTTCCACTAGTCCAGACCCTCCAGGTGTCCCTATTTTCCAGGGACAGTCCTGAATTTACAGAAGCCCTCCAGGTTTCTCATTTGATCCTGGAATGTCCTGCTTTTCCTTAGGACATCCTTATTTCCATCAGAGAAATGTTGGAGGGTATGGAGTGACGCAACCCACCCACCCCGAGCTAAGCATCTGAAGGCAGCCCAGTATAGGGAAGGTTTTTTATGTTTAATGCTTTATTATGTTTTTTCTATGTGTTGGATGTCAACAGGAATGGCTGAGACAACCCAGTCAGATGGGCAGGATAAATAAAATTGTTGTTGTGGAATGCTCTCACAGAGAAGTTTGCCTGTCGCCTTCATTATACAGCTTTAGGTACCAGGCAAAAACATTCCTTTTTAACCAGGCCTTTGTACATATTTTTGGATATTTGGAAAACGTTTTGGTTTGTACTGTACTGTATTTTGTGGATTTATTTATTTTTTGGCATAAAATGACCATAAAGCCAGAACTGCTGGGATAAAGTAATGCTATACCCTTTAAAATGTGGCCTTTTTAGGGGGGAGGGTGTTATTGGATTATTGTTTTATTTTTATTTTCTATATTGTGACCCTTTTTGTGAACTGCCCTGAGACCTCCAGGTTTAGGGCAGTATATAAATTCAATAAATAATTGTTGTTGTTGTTGTTGTTGTTGTTGAAGAATAGGACATCCTTATTTTCATCAGAAAAATGTTGGAGGCTAGTCTTCACAGGAGCAGATACAAAAAGAATACCTCTTACTCTATGAGTACAGTCATTTTTCAAAACCTTCGGATCAGCTTAGAAAAATTACCCAATTTCCCCCTAGAGTTTTCCTAAGGTTATTTCTTTTTTCTGAGTTGATCCAAAGAAGATTCAGAAAGCTCACTTGTCTCTACTTCACACTGGAAGTTATCTGACTGGCACACGAATTGCCCTTTCTCCATTGCACCCCTGCATGATTTCACCATGCATCCATGCATACAAACATGCCACTGAATGGACCCGAGCTGATACATTGAAAGTGCTTTGGACATGCTATGTGCTAAGAATTATGGTTTTTGCTAGGGAGAGGGAAAGAGGATGCAATAAAGTAAAGCAGAGGTGAGGCAACAATGGGGGGAAATTGAATATAGCATATGTGGATAGTGTCATTATATCATTTAATCACTAGATGGCACTGGACGTAGTTGTATCTATAGAGTA